GCTTGCTCTTAATTTATTCTGTTTGAGAATAGGTGAGTATTTCACCCTTCCACTTACTTCTAATATGGTAATTTCTTTTCTCTCCTTTAAATAGTAACTCAGAACATTTCATTATTTCCCAGGTTTGTTTTGTTTTGTTTGCTTGTTTAGAGGTAGGGTCTTGGTATATAGTCCAAGCTAGCCTTGAACTCACTATGTAGCCCAGGCTGCCCTTGAACCTTGGCTATTCTTCTGCCTCAGCCTCCTGTAATGTCCACTACTACACCGCATATTTCCTGAATTTGACAGGGTAGCAAACCAAGAATCTTGAACAAGTGTCCTCGACCTCACTGGAGCCAAGATTGTAATTTAAGTAGCAACACATCTTTAATGTCCTCAAAAATAAGTCCAAAGATCATAAAACTCTGTCCACTCTCCACAAACCATGAATCAATCAAGAAAGTCCTAACATGTAACACTTGGCATCCTAAGTGAATACAATGTTTCCCTACATCCCCACTGACTGATAAGGTGGTGTGCACAAAGTTCACTAGGAGGCCTAAGGAGCTATCTTGGGGCAAGGTGGTCACAATACTAGAAGAAGCATACTTGAAAAGTGAAATTCGTCATGTGTGTAAAAAAAGTAAGAGGAAAAAAGAGAGTTAAAGGATATTCTTGCCTTTTAGTAAAAAACAATAACAGAAGTTCCAGATTGTGATTTTAAAGAATATTGGTGATAGGTGATGACTATGGGTGTTCAATAATGAGAACAGACTAGTCAATAGTCATGAACAGTGGTGCTGGTTCACCACACACACACACACACACACACATGAGCGTGTGCATGCACTAGTATATGCCTGCATTTCAGCCATAGTTCCCCTCCTTTCAGCAGACATACATAGACTTGCAGGGATTGGAAGATAGACGGTACTTGTAAGTGTCTTTGAGTCTGGTGTAAGAAACAGAAGCAAATGCTTATGGCTAATGGATTTTTGTCAGCTTTAAGAGAGATCTCTGCAAAAAGTATTCAAGGCAACACAGTACGCTCTAACCCTTGGACAGGCACCAAATATTAGTCTGTTATTCATCTGTAAAATGGGAATGATAGTGCCCTTCTGTTTGCAGCAGTATTCTTGTGAGGGTTAAATAGGTGAGTCATATGAAATTTCCCAGGAATCCTTGCCTAATATAAATGATGTCAGATGGATGGGTGGATGGATGGATGGATGGATGGATGATAATGCAGGATTTGAAGATAAAGCTGTGAGCAATGAGTCTTAAAGGATGACAAAATCAAGATTCAACAGGATTTCAAAAGATTTGAGTTATAGGGAAACACTACTAATACAAATCAAGTCAAACCAGAGCCCTGCATGAAGGTTGACAAACAAGCTTGTGAGAATGTGATGGGTGGGACGTGGGTAAATAGCAGTGATGAGGTGGGGGCTGATGGTGTGACGTGGTGGCCAGACCGGTAAAGCAGTCTTAAATTGCTGTGCTCAGGTTGCCATGGTTGCTGCTACTGCTATTATTGTTATTATGAAAAGAATCCAGAACTACATGATTAACATAGGGATTTTATTTGCATCACCTTATTAGTTGAAGAATATTATTGGATCAATGGAAATCATTGCTCCAGTGAACTCTGTGACAGGAGACTTTCAGCATTTGGTCCACTTCCTTTCACACCTGTGAAAGGCATGGGAACACCTGGAAGACAGCTGATAAAGACAAAGGAACAGGATTCCAGCTCAGCAGTGGCATGCACTCTATGTGCGCCCTTAAAGGAATGACTTAATCCCTCCAAGCCCTTCAGCTATCAAGTAGGAATGGAAGTTCCAGCTCCATAAATCTGTCTTGGAGACTAAGTGAAAACACACATCACATGTGCCTGGCAGAAAGTCTGCATGCAGAAAGGACAACCACTGTCACAGCTCTTGCCCTCTCAGTCACCCAGTATGGAGATCTTCTGTGGAATCTTCTGCAACCTCCCATGGCCCAGGTCAATTTCCATCTACTACCTTTATCTTCACATGCTGGGCCCTTCCCCACTACCACCCAGTGGGGGCCTGAGTGGGAACAGACCTGGCCCCTTGCACTGGCTCCCAGGCAAGCCAACAGAGAACTGCAGTCCTGCTCCCCAGACCTGGGGATCCAGAAAGTCTGAAAAGTGCACCGGCATCAAGAAAGAGCAGGAGAGAGGCAAGTTTGGTTCCTGACAGCTTATAATCTAGTAGGAAAACCAGATGCTGAAATGTGTGCATACACAGAGAAAAAAAACATAAATTACTGCAGATAAACAGGGTACCAAGGAAGAACAGAATAGGAAAATCCTAATTCAGGTGCCTTAAGAAGCAGATCCTTACAGAAAGTGATATGTGAATTGGACACTGAGGGCAAGTAGAAAATTCCACAGCTGCCCTCTAAGGCAGGCAGCTACAGCATTCTTGGAGGGCTCTCAGCTATTCCAAGAGGAAGCCCCTCATGCCCTATCCATGGGCAGACACATGTTACTGAAGCCCACTATGGAACGTCTCCCAAGAGGTCCCAGCCACACCTCTCAGAAGCACCAAATCCACCCACCGCTCCTCCCACCTAATAACCCATCCTCTTCAGAGTTCACATCTATTGAACGCTCAGCAGAACCTGATGGGCCAGAAACACACCTGGTCATGCTCTTCCTGGCTGTAAGTTTCTGGAAACCACACACCTTCCAAGAGCCACCCCATCCTTGGCTTCCTGCCCCTCTCCTCTTGCTCCCCCAGCCCAAGAAGCTCCAGGGCAGGGTGCAGATGTAATCATCAGGGGCAGAATGAGTAGAGCTGACCTATGCAAGTCCATGGGGCAAGGCAGAGACAAAGACAGACACTAGTTAAAAAAAAAAACAACCCTAAGGCATGGGAAAAAAAAGTCCAGGAAGCAAAGAAGAGTGTGGGAAGCAGGGGTAGAGGGTGAACAGAGCCTCAGAGGAAATGTCACCACATGGGCCATTGGGAGGGCACAGCCTTGGGGAACTCAGCCATGTAATTTCCAAAGCTGCAACCAGCACAGAGAGATCACAAAGGTTCGAGGGTGGCGGGGCACACTGGTGCTGAAGAACACATCTTCCTCCAGATCTCACCACTGATATGGAAGCCACTAGAGGGTGGAGGTGATGAATGGCTTGGAATGAAGAAGGAATGAACCTGTGAGATTCCTGTGAGGAATCTGAGGAGTCACAGCAGTGGGCTGGGTTCACTGCAGCCTGAAAATGCTGGCAAGCCTCCCACACCAGCTGAGGGAACACTGCCACCCTTCCCTGCGGAACTCACCCGCCTTTCATTCCACAGACACATATGTGGCCCCAACAGCATGCCTGGCCCTGCCCAAGGCCTTAGAGAAAAAACCAGCTGGGAGCACCCAAGGAGGCTAGGGTCTGAAGAAAAGAGGGGAAGGCAGAGACAAGCCACCATGAGGCCTGAGCAAAGTCATTTCTGGTTTAGAGAAGCAGGGAGCATACCAGAAGAGCTGGCCTCTGAAAAGTGTCTTAGAAAACAGGTAAAAAAAAAAAAAAAAGAAAAAAAAAAAAAAGAAAACAGGTAAAATAGTGGAGATCCATATAGGGGGTAGGGAGGGCGTAGGAGAAAGCATCCCGATAGAAAGCCCAGGAGGGCGCCTTCTTTGGAAAATAGGCCGGAGAAGCCCCACGTGGCATTACTTTTCTCTGCTGGAAAGGAAAGGCCATTGCTTGACTTCCACACGTAGGCTGAGCCGAGCCTCAGTCACAATTCCTCCTGCTTTCTTAACTCACTGTGTGAACTGCCCCCTTGGGCACGATCTTCTGTAAGCTGGGGGCTTTAACCAGCTGAGTACACATTATTCTAGAAACAAAGAAAACTCTGGAGTCTTTTTCTCCCAGCTTATAACTGTAAAATACAAGTCAAGGGAATGGTCTCACTCTGACAGTCCCAGAGTCCTGGAGGAGCTATGACCTCCCTTTCATGGCTGCCTCAGATCTGCACACCTGAGTCAGGTTCCTCCTGCTCCTCCCAAGGTTTGGGCTCAGCTGGCGTCCAGTTCCCCAGGCATCCCCCTTCGTGCCCACAAAGGTACGTGGTTCCTGCCAGAGCCAAAGAGGAGTAATAGACAGCAATAACCACAACAAGGCTGGCAATATAACCTAGGGTATGTCAGCTAACTTCAGTGGAATGCAGGCTGCATGTTGAGCATGAATTCTAAGATCCTTGCACATATTCATTCGTAGAATCCTCACAGCACTCCTCTGAGGGGTGTTAGCAAAACCCCCACTGTAAATGAGTAGAGGGGAGCGAGGAAGAATTTTGCAGTCAAAGGACATAGAAAATGGGCTGCTTTAAAAGCATCTACTAGCTGAGTGCTCTGATTTTACTTAGATTGTATATTTAAGATTAGTAAAAGTATCTTAGAAAAAACAGTAACTCAGATTATGAAAAATTACAGAGGTATGTGTGTGTGTGTGTGTGTTACTGGAAAGTGAACAAGCCTGCCCTTTTCCTGTGTCTCTTTTCCTCAAACGGGAAGTCGTCTCACTGACCTATGTCCCCATCCTTATTTTTTATTTGCTATTTTGAGACAGGGTCTTGCTAAATTGCCCAAACTAGGCTCAAAATTGCAATTCTCCTGTGTGAACTTTTTATACTTGTGGAAAACAGGAGCGTAAATGACCTCTAGAAATCCTCTCCCTCTGATAGTTCAGGGGGGCCTGAGTTTTTCCATGGGCTGCCTCAGAGCTCTATACCTGTGTCAAGAACGACAGAATACTGTGGTTTTGAGGAGGCCTCTATGTGTGTTTGTGGAGATAGGAGGTCTAGACCCTCTCCAGAGCAAGCTTACTGCAAGATCTGGGTTGGGGTAGGGCAATGAGTTCCTGAGGCCTGGAAATGGTGTTTCAATCAAGGAAAGAAACCCTCTCCTTTGGAGGGTTATAAGGAATCCCGAATTATCAAACGATTCTCAATCTTTTTTGTGCTGCTTGAAAAGAATAGCTCAGACTAAGTTACAAAAGTCAAATTTATTTCTTCGTTTTAGAGGCTGAGAAATGTAAGGCAGAGAGGCCCACAGTGGAGAAGGCTGTCCTTGCTGTGCCACCCCATAGCAGAATACAGGAGGGTGAGAAAGCACGTGCATGCCAGAGTGCACAGGAGAGGGAGAGAGAGAATGCAGGAGAGGGTCGGACTCGTTGTTCAACAACTCCACCCTCACAACAGTAGCATTAATGCACTACTCATCTTTCAGAAGCCCTGCTTCTCAATGCCGCTGCAGGTAGGGATGAGATTTCTAGCACATGCCTTTTGGGGGACTCGGTCAAACCATAGCACACAGCTTTTTCGTGAGACCGTTTCTGAACATCTCACATCTACCCCTTAGACCACCTCTGCGAGAGGGGCTGTTAAGCTCACCATGCTGAGGATCTCTCCCCAGAACGTGTGCTCAGCTCCTACCCCACAGGGAGGGCTGGGTGGGCCAAGTGTCCCAGGCAGCATTCCTCTGGATGTGTAAATCAGGAAGAGGTGTCAAGCCTGTCTGAATCAGTTTGATGCTATAGACAAACCGTCCCTTCCCTTTTTATCGCCTGGAACTCCTTAGGGAAAATGCCAAGTGGGGAGAGTCAATCCAGTGAGACCTCAGGGAGCCTTGGTGAAGCACAAAGAGCTGTGTACATGTGAGGTTATTAACGTCTAACTTGTATGAGATGGGTACACACTGTCACAGCAAAAACACAGTGCAAATAAGAAAGGAAAGAAATATCTGGGGGAGCCCATGTTTCTGGCTCCTTATGATTCCTCTCTTCTCTCTTTCCCTTTTTCTCAGATCAAGCTCAGTGAAAACAGAAACCAGATTCTTTGCCTCTATTGAACAGCAGTGCCGTCTGACCCCTATTTAAGAGGATAGGCCTGTTCTCTGGGCAAGAGGGTCCTGGGAATCAAGGCTCTGGGTCCTGGCACTACTCAATACCCACTGAAGTCTGGCCAGGCACAGGTAGGCAGCAGGCACCGGGAAGCTTGTGAGGACACTGCCCTGAGCTGGCCCTAGTGAGTGGTGCATGCAGTACCTGCCTCAGCATACTGTGCAGAGTCAGGGACACAGGACCCTGAAAACACAGCACCCACAACAGGAAAGCTACCAGAACCAGCTCTGAGCCGCAGATTGGGAGGAAATAGCACTGTCCAAAAGGGCTTCCCAAAGAGGAGAGGATGGAGCAAACTGGCTGAGTGAGTAAGGGCCAGGGTTAATCCATTCATTTACTCATCCATTTTTTCAACAAACATCTAAGAAAACTTACTAAATTCCATACACTGCTCAGGAACTGAGGACAAGGAGATAAATAAAAACCAGCTACTCCCTGGAGAAACTTCCAGTCCAGGAGACAACAGACATGTGTGTAAACCATTGCAGGCTTTAAATAAAATTAGCATACAAATCTGTACAAGTCGCTGTATGAGCAGAGAAGAAGGGTGGGCACCTGGCCTGGGTGATGGGCGAGGACTGAGGGCTGCCAGCCAGACCACAGGGGAAGGGGCACCAGGTAAAAAGGCAGACAGAAAGGGAAAGACAAGCATGACAGGAACCAGCCTGTCATCTCACCTGGCCGAGCAGCTGGTGCTCAGGAAAGTGAAGAGAAAAGAGGTTGGGCTCAGACACAGAGGGCTGTGGATGTCTCCCTGCGGGGACCCGGGGATGCTGGAGGATGTTAACAGGAAAGGACATTCTCATCCCAGCCTGGGGAAAGGGAACAAGGTGGGGTTGGCAGAGGAGGGGGACATGGATGTTGAGGCAAAGTGGGAGGTGAGGACAGAGACCTATTGGGAAGAGCAGCCCCAGAAGTGGGAGAGCCTGCCCTCAGTTTCTGAAGTGAGGCCACGTCTTGATGATGTTGTACAAAGCCTGTCCAGGGGACAGGGTGTTGACCACATCACTATGGCCCAGCAGCAGGTAGTTGGGGTCCAGATACCCCTTGACCACAGCACACTGGATCAGGTCCTGGGCTGCCTTCAGAGCAACTGCATTTGGAGGCTTTTCTGAAAAACACATTTACTCTGTCATTCATTAAGGCCTCAAGGTTATTTGTTTAAGGGAGTGACAAGCACCTAGATTCCATCTCCCACCTCCCTCACCACACTCCGTACCACCATCACCCCAACCAATGCATTTACATGAACTGTGGCAATCAGGCACAAAAAGAAGACAAGGCTACTGTCTTCCCCCACCCTCCTGTTCAAGATTTCTTTCAGAAAGTCAAACTCAGCTCTGGAATAAAACTCCAGCAGGTCACACCACTTCTCAGTAGGTGCAGTGCACATACACCCCACCGAACCCTCCACCACTGTGCCACAGCGGGCAGAGTGTACCCCAGATTGTTGCCAAGGAAGCACACACATTTGTCAGCTGACCCATCAAATATCGAAGGTTTCAGAAGATATTTTTCTCTTTTGCCCCATGCTTGCCTTGGATGTGGATCTAAACTGAGATGTGGTTGGGATTGGGAACGGTGAATTAGGGATAAATGTTTTGTCTGAGAGGGTCTTCAAGGGACAGGCATCCTCTATGGCCAGTCTACTTTAAAGCTAAACTGTTCTACCAGCAGTGCCAGGCACCCCAATGCTTATGCTTCCTATGTATTCCTCATAATATTCATTGCCCAGACCCCTCTGCCGATGCTCACCCCTTACCTACGAAGTTGCCCATGAAGGCAATTCCCAGAGCGATATCGTTGTATCCGTAGGTGTGAGACCCTTGGCTATACCAGCCAAGCCCTTCATACACTCCACCATCCTCACCTACCAGGAAGCTGGGATCGGACAAAGGAAAATGAAAAAGTCACTTTAGGAAGATTTTTTTCTTTCATTCCTTCAGTCATTAATTCCTTCTTTTATCCATGTATCACATATTGACTGGATGTCTCTTACGTGCCAACAACCAAAATATAATCCACTGCAATGTGGTGTTTGCCTCCACCATGCCACTGAATCTGACCCTTCCAAGTGACCGGTAATCCTCTTGGCAAACAGAGGACATTTATCTTACTTCCGGGAAACACAGGCCCTGTTGACCACACTCATCCTGAAATGTTTTTCCCCAGGCTTTCACAGGCCGATATCCTCCCAGTTCTCTCTACTCCACTTCTCTCCATCAGGCCCCCGCCACCCATCTTGCTGTCCTCAAAAGCTGTGATGTTATGTTCTTAAGGACACTGCTCTTCCTCCTTGGACACCGGTGTAGCCCCATCTCTCCTTTCCCTCGACATACTAACCCTGGACAATCATCCACACCCATGGTTTCAATTAGAACCTATAAAAGCGGACATATCCTAACAAACCCATCATCTTCTGCAGTTTTCCCAGCCAGAAAATTGGGCATCATCCTGAATGCCTCCCTCTCCTTCTCCCAGCCCCATCTAACCACTAATCATGGCTTGGCAACTGTGCATCCTACACAGCTTTTAAATTTCCCCACCTCTCTTAACCAATTTCCACTACCCTGCCCTGGGTCACTGATTACTGCAATAACTCCTTGCCCAAGGTTTTGCCTCCTTCTGTTCCTTTTGGAAAATAGTACCCAAAATGATTTTTCTAACATACAAATTCTGTCACAGAGCTTCAAACAGTCTCCAGGTACCTTCCAAATAAAGTCAGTCTTCAGGATCAGATACAAGAGGCTGTGATGCGACTCCCTTAGGTCTCTCTGGCTTACTTTCTACCATTTTTCTCTTGGAAACTTATTTTTGTTTGAGTTAAGCTGATTTCATCCTTCTGGAAAAGTGCTCTGTCCAGCCCCCAGCCTCTACAATATGCTGTTCCCCTTTATCTGGACCATTCTTCCTTCTCCTTTGCTCAGCTGATTCCCACTGCTTATCCATGTGCCAACACGGATATCCCTCCCTTTGGCACTCTTCTCTGATACCAATCATCCTCCAAAGTCTTAAGGAGAGGCTCATTCTATGGATATCATGTTCTGTCCGTCACAGGGCCTAGCATTTTGCATATAATTACTTTTTATCATTTCTCTCACCTCTACAGGCAAAAGAAAGATAGAGATATTAGAGAGTTAGAAAATAGTGAGTGAGTGGTTGCTTTGTCCTTGTCAGAGTCCACGTCAAGGCTAGAGACTGTACATGACGTGGCTGAGGAGGGAGAGATTCCCCAACAAGTTTTAAAGTCAAGGGACGGGGATCAAGTCTCTTGATGACTGAATGATAAAGGAAAGCAAATGTTGCCTCAGGTTCTGGCGTTTGTCATTTGGAATTTCCAAATGTGAAAGCCATCCTCTATAATCCATGTTAAGTAACTTATCGAGGTAAACAAAACCTCTGCCACATGCTTCAGGGTCTCACCTATTGGCAAAGCCTTCTCTTAAAACAGGAATCAGTCAGCCAGCCAGAATAGCACATTTGCAGAAACAAGCTGACCAAGACTGTAAAATTCATTGTGAGTATGTCTCTGAGTACCTGAAATTTACCATATTCCATCCCTAAACTCTTCTACGAAATATCAAAGGCACTTCTCAAGTAGCTTTTTTTTTCCCATTAAAGTGGTTCTTTATTATATACTTGCCTTGAAAGGAACCAAAAGAAAATGTTTTCATTTCATTCCCTGTTTTTAAATAAAGAATATATTGCTGGCCCTAAGTAGAGATGAGACAAAAGAGGCGTAAGAAGGTTAAAAGCTTCTCCCACTATAAATGGCATCAATAGCAGAGGAGCAGCAGGATTCTAACATCAGAGAGGGCAAGTCTGGGCTGGGGTCAGACCTAGATGAGGAGAGCAGGGCCTTCACCTTTGACTGGTCACAAGGGGCTACATAAAAAGATACCTTTCTTCGGTGACCTTCCCTAAAGTTATCCAGTCTTGCTTTGTCACTGCTGCTTCTAATGCCTTCTTTTCAGAGTCTTCCCAAGAACATACCCCTGAGGGATAATCAACCCTAGCCATTTTCAGTCAAGAAAAAAAGATGATGCCTTACATAAAGCACCTAGCACAGATCAAGAGCTTATTTAGATTCTGCCCCCAAGCCTTCCTTTCCACAGCCCTCATCTTACTTACTGATATCCGATGTCACAAAAATCTCGTTTGTCCATGTGGAAGGACTGTATACCTCTGACGCAAAGCAGGCAGTCCATGGATACATTGCAGCCTATCCCCGCAGTGTGAATAATGATGGCATATTTGGCTGGGAGGTCCATTTGAGGGCAGTGTGTCTCTCTGGCTTCCCAAGCAGATCGTGGGATGATGTTGGGGCAAGCTGAGATGCAGTGAAAAACCAAGGAAATGAGAATTTGCCTTCAGACTTGGTGAGCAGTCACAGAAACACAGGCTGGGTTGTGCCTCAGTCTCTCCCCAGCATCCAGCACTCAGTGACACTTCCTAATGAGCTTGACTGTAGGGGTCTGGAAAGTCCAGGTGAAATTGTCTAGGTCAGGTCACTGGGGCCACAGGACAGGTTCTGATAACTATAGAAACCAGTGTATAAGTAGAATGGACTGTAGGCCAGGCAGCGTTGTAGTCATTTTCTTCAAAAGACAAGAATTCCCGCATGTTTGCATATGCATTACAAATATATGTGTATTAGGGAAGAGGACTAGTATGAAAAGATTAGCTCTCTCTCTGAACTGATCACATGTGTATGAAAATAATTTGGAATCTATAAAATATTCTACAAATATTAGAGTTATCATTATTGAAGACTTTACCAGCCTAAAGGCAAGAATAACTTTATTTAGAAAAATACTGAGTCCCAGAAAAGGCCTGCCCTAGCACAAATATTTAAACTACCTACAGTGCTTATTAATTTTATTGGTTGCTTGTTACTTGTTATCTTCAAGACATTGCATCATTTTTATTGCTCAGCTTCTTGGAATATTCACTATGACATCAACATAACCTATGAATTCAAGTTTTTCTCAGTGCTGTGGCCATTTGCATGTTGGCTGGGTTTTGCAATGGAAAGAGTGTGTGTGTGCATGTGTCCAAATACAGTATGGTCACACAAACATGTAAATTTAATCACACAAATATGTAAATATGTTTATTTCACTCCACTCCCATGCATCATTTTTTTCCATAGTTTGTGCCACCTAACATCATATATATCACTTGTTGGTTCACTCACTGTCTGACTTTCCTCACTGAGGCATGAACTCCCTGAAAGTGGGTGTTTTGCCTGCTTTGTTCACAGGCGTCCGTTTAGTATCTTGATGAATACATGCTACTCAGTCAATATTTATTGACTGAAAACCTGTGCACAAGTGTGCATACACACACATGTGCACACAAATTTGCATTAAAAATGAGTCTATGGAAATATTCTAGTGGGATGGAGAGGAGATCAGGGGAATGCCTTCTCAGAATATCCTGGATCCAAAAGGTATGAAATGCATAAGAAGTTCTTGATAAAAGAAGCCCACAAGAACCCAACAGGAAAGAGCACTCCCAGATATGGTTATGCGAGGATAGGTAGGAGGGTGCGGTGGGTCTTACCTTTACTGGGTATCACTGGATGTTGAGAACTTAAGCAGATTTCTTGTTTCAAGAGATGTGGCTGAATATACCTGGGTGACAGGTGACCACTCTGAATGGCATAGAAGATCAGGCCCTCCGCAGCTGATAAGGCAGCTGGGCTGGGACTGCTGCCTTAAAGAGGATGACAGGGAATACAGAAGTGTCAGTAAGGAACTCCAGCCTGGACTAGACTTTGCAGGGAGGACAAATGCCCATCTTATGACTGACAGTGGGCAGAAAGAGGAGAAACTGGTCCAAACACCAGGATAGACGGTCTAAGATACAAGATCTACCTGGACAGAGTTTTTGACTGCAAAACATAGGTTTTATTTATCAATTCCAGCTCCAGATGGAAAGGCCAGGAGAAGGAGACCCACCTGATCAAGTCAAGTATGCTCCAGCACAGGAAAAATGTGACAGTTTTTACCCAGTAGCTGTCATGATCAGGCATGTGATAGTCCTTTCATATCCATTAGCTTATATACTTCTCACAGAAAACTTCTAAGATAAATGCTACTACTAGCCCGGATTATCAACCAAGGATACTTGCAGGCATCAGTTAGTTGTCTATTAGCACTCAACTCCATCGTTGTTCTGTGCAATTTTCCATTACTCAGTGACCCAGAAGCCTACAAACTACATCTCCCAGAATTCCTTGCCTTCCAGAGGCTGGTTAGGGTCTACCAGTAAAAGACATTGGAAGAAGAGATAAGCCATGCTTTTCTGTCTCTGAGAGCCGGAGTATGGATAGTAGACAAGGTCAGGCTCTAGAAGTGTTGGCAGTAACTGAGCTCCAGCATGGTGGCTTCAGCAATATTATAGAAGCACAGACCAGGGAAGAGGAAGAAGACGAGAAATCCATGTCATAGAATCCAGTGAAGAAAGAACTTCAAAAGGAGGATGATTATTAGACAAGACGAGTATTATGTAGGCTGAAAAGATAAGAGTGTGAGACTAGGGGGTGGAGGAAGAATGCAGACCATGCTCTGGCTAGGGCGTCACAGAAATGGCCATTACCTATCTTACTGCCAAAGAAGGCGATACCCAGGGAGATATTGTTGTAGCCTGGAGCGTGCAGGCCTTGGACATCCCAGCCGACACCTTCATACACCCTGCCATCAGCCCCAACCAGGAAGCTGCCAAGAAAGGAAATTTGGGTAAAATGATAAATCTGCATAACAGAACACTTCACACTGATCCTCAAAAGGGAAACAGGGTTCTAGGAGTTTGTAAATAAGCACTCTGCTTCAATAACATAACAATGGGGGATAAGCAGAATAACCAACTTTAAATCTCCAAGAGACATAGGACTTAGAGGTAAGAGTTTGGAATCACTTGAAAATATGTGGCTGAACTAGGCGGTGCTGCAGTCACACCAGAGGGCAGAGGAGGTAGTAGTGGCAGGGGCAGCAGATAGCTGTAGTTAACACAGTCAATACAGCATCCACAGAGGAAAGGCCAGGAAGCCCTACCATTGTGGGGATTATCCTTCGCAAAATAAGTACTGAGAAGTCATTTTAAAATTCTGGGGGGTGGGGCTGAGGATTTATCTCAGCAGCACAGTTCCTGCCTGGCAAGTGCAAGGTCATGAGTTCGATTCCTGGTACTGGAAGAAAAACAAAAACAGAAACAAGACAAAGAAATTCTGGGGGGCTCAATTTCTCTGTCTCTGTTTCTCTTTCCCTTTCTCTTTCTCTGTCTCTCTGCTGTCTCAGAAAGGCTCTGAGCTTCCAGTGTAATTTTCAGAGTAGATACTCAATGCACAATGCAAAATGCTTTTGCGCCCCAAGTTTGTTTGAGAATGGTGCTCTGCTCCTCAGCATCCCGCTTCCTGCACCTTCCCTTATGATCCCTGATCTCCCTCTCAAGATGACCTTCAAGGTAACAAATAGGAGATGGCTTCACAGGGTACAGGCTGTGTGGGTGGGGAAGGAGACAAAGCTGAGTTAATAGGCATTCCCAAAACTGTTCTAGGTCTATGTTTCTTTGCAGTGTATCACTTAAAACAATTTCTTTAATTTCTCTATACTATGGCATCTTAACCTGTAAAATGAAGGCGGTAATATTTCTTCTGCCCATTCCCTGGAGTACCTGGAGGGCTTGTCTGGGTCATGTTTTTGAAGAACTTTATGCACTATGTCATCTAATGAGATCCCAGGGGTGACTGTAGCTAACCTTCCTTGATTCTTCTTAGAAGTTCCCGTAGCCAAGGACCACTGAAGTAAATGGCTCGGAGCTGTCTCTCCTAGTGATTTTTGGAGGATTGTAGATTTTGACTGATTACTTTTAAATATGTTGTGCTTTATGTATTATAAAAGCAACATAAATGAAGCCTCCAAGCGGGGAGAAGCAGAGAAGGTGAGGTGGGAAGTACCCTATGAAACGTAACTTTGGACGTGGGCTTCCGGTACCTGACCAATTTCTTACTTGAAGGCCAAGTCGCACCAGCCTTTGGTGTGGACAGAATGGGACTGTAAGCCCCGCAGCAGTTGGCTACAGGTGTTCTGCTCTTCGCACTCCATCCCCGCCAGCTGATCTGTGATGAGGTAGGGCACAGGTGGGCTCAGCAGAGCCCTGCAGGTGAGTGCTCTTGCCCCCCACTCCTTGCGGGAGACCATGGTGGGAGTACCTGCAGAGGACACAACAGGGTGCATGCAGTCAGCTGTACTCCCCAGGAAGGGGGCCCAAGAAGGAGGCCTGCACCACCCACAGCCTCCCCTTCTCATCTCTGTAGCCTGGCTTGTGTTCAATAATCACCGAGACAGACTGTGCTCGGCATACGAAGTCAAGTTGCCTTAATCCCCAGACACTCCCTCCTTGCGTTTTTCTAGAGGACAAACCCCACCCTTCCTCCCTTTATGGCTTCCTCCACCTCTCTCTTTCTCTTCAGAGAGCATCCTCAGCTGACACCCCATACGCAGCCCCTGAAGCACATCAGCATGACTGAAGATCTTCATCCTGGTCTTGGACCCTGGGTCTCTGCCTCTCTCTTGCTCTTGTGAACACTCTACTCAGAATGGTGACTCTCCAGAGGAAGGCCTGCTAGTTTCCTCGTGATGGTTGCAATTCCCTAAGCGTGTGATATAAGTCTCTGTCAGATGAAAATTCTCCCGGGGTAGAGCTGTGAAGTCCTCACATAGGACTGCAGGCCTACAGGGGACTCCCTTTCTCTCTCATCTTGAGACTCCCTAGCGCCCTATGAGGAATAGGGTGCTTCCGCTCATACCGGGAGCTAAGAAGTGAAGCATGTGTCCAATTTCACTGGGTTTTCTCTCCTCTTCCTTTACCTGGGCTTTCTTTTCTTTTCCTGTCCTTGGCAAAGGAGCACAACTTTACCTAAAACTCAGGGAAATCCCTAGAAATTGCTGGCAGATGAGCCTCATGGAATTCTACTCCATCCACTCAGTAGCAGCCTGGACAAAATCAAGTCCTGAAAAACCCCACCCTAACCCTAATGCAATATCCAAGCCTCTTCACTATTGCAACCCTTGTGGATGAGCTGGGAGAGGCTAATAAACAAGTCCAGAAGTTTCTCCGAGATGCCTCTGGCTGGGGTTTCATTCCAGAATAACTGTGGGACATTCCCTGCAAAAGACATTGGTGCTCATACTTGAGAACTCTTGGCTAGTATGCTCAGAGGCATAAGCCAGATATCTCCCCACAGCGCACAGCCTTTCATCCTCCCAGGTCCCAGTACATCCTTAGGTTTGTTTTGGTACCAGGAACTGAACTCAGGACCTCACACTTGCCATGCAGGCACTGTGCCGCTGAGCTATAGCCCTGGCCCTCCCATACATCCTTAGGAAATAACACAGGAGAGCCACATACATCTCTGGCCTCAACCTGCCTCTGATCCCCACATGTGCCCTAAAGGGGACTTCAGCACCCTCCCCCAACCTTCCCTCCATCCCAGGAACTTGGCAGCCTCCCCTGGTATCTTATCTAAGAAGCACTGTCTTCCTTAACTCATTCCTACCAATTCCTACTGATAAACCAGGGTACCCCTCAGACTGCTACATACCAAGACAGACATTATTTTTACCTAACTCTTAATATGTATATTAAACATTTATTTGTGCCATGCAGGGTTCTTGAAACATGGAAATATATGGATCCTTGGTGCTGCCCTAAAGACATAGATATTCCAGACAGGCTTCATTGAGGATTAATCTTCAACTACTTGTTCTCACCTCCCAGAACTCCTGATTAGTTTCAGAAGCAGTGAAACCAAGAGCCATCTGCAGTAGTACCACTGTCCCCAATATCACCTCCCACAGGCTGCTCTGTGATGGCAAACTTCCTAAAAGACACTACCAGAATTGGACTAAGAACAACTTCATGAAATAAGCAAAGCAAAATAATTATGCCCTCTGCAAGTTTTAAGCTGTGATGTTAGATTCCCACCAGACTGACATCAGAGCTCGAGTTCATAACCACCACCCTCTGCAGATGCCCCACCCTCTTGTCAGGACCTGGGGGATGTCACTGCCTCAGTGAGGCCTGTTTCTCTGTCTATAAGACAAATTCACTGAAGGTCTCCACCATGGCTCAAGGATTCTGTTCCTCTTGGAAATGATGACCAAATCCATGACCCCAGCACTGAGGCTAAGTTGTGCTGGGCAGCTAGAGAGTGCTGAAGATAGAGCCCATCTTGTCAGGGGGAGGGCCCTGAGCTGCAAGGAGAAGCACAGGACAGGGGAGGAGGAGTGATAACTCCTAAGAAAATGGTTTGCAAATGAAACTCACAGGAACTTACAGTGAAAGAACATTCACCAGTCCAGAGCCACTGCCAAATGGGCAGGACAGGTACAGGGCAGGAACCAGGAGACTGGGGGATGGCCAGTCTCAATTCATTGCCTGGCTTGGATAGTTATTTCTCCTATCAGGTTCTCAATCCTCTGTCCATACAATGAAAGGTTAAACCATGTATTTCCTGGTATCTGAGTTTTTCCAACAATAACTTCACATAAGACCATTATGTCTAAGTAGGAAGGAGTGGAGAGAGATCTTTGCTACATTATCACTTCCAAACAGGAATTATTCATGTAAGACAATAGGAAAACATGCTCCACATTAAAGAATCACCTGACCCACTTCCATTTTAATTCAACAGCATCTATTTATTAGGCATTTACTACATATCTAATCATATGTATAAATCTATAAGAAACATTCTGATGTGGTAAAGAGTAGTATTATTCTTAAGAAATTTGCAAAGGTAAGCCCTAATGCCAGATTTAACCCCAGGATTGGGATAATAATAATAGTAAGATAATTGAATCATACCACAAATTACCAAGCACATATTGCTTGAGCAATGTATTGAACGCCTCACAATTGGTATCTAATTTAACCCTCACAAACAACTCTAAGAAGTGAGCAATATCATCTTCATCTCATGGAAGCAAATAAGACTCAAAAACACTAAATAACTTGTAAAAGATCATAGTACATATGAGGACAAGGATTAGAACAGAGGTCTGTCAGCTCCAGAACAGGGCTCCAAATTGCAAAGCTACATTATCCTTTAGCAAATGGAAAACACTGGGGAAATTTTTTCTTATTCAATTTAATGACAGTCACTCCCCAAAATCACTTTTGACCCAAGGACAGAGAACTTACCCCAGGCCTGAAGACTCACAGTAGAGAAGACAAGAAACCAGGGCAGCATCCTCATGGTGTTCCAGGACACCGACAGGGAGAGGGTGGATGCCAGCCCTGGGAGGGCAGTGACCCTGGAGAGACACTGGCAGTTATTACGACCATGCTTACTCTTAAAATCCAACACCCACCTGCTGCCCAGTATCTCTGCCTGCTCCCTCACCACACTGTGGCCTCCTGAGGGCCAGCACCTGGCTCATGTTTCTCAAATTCTTCTGCTCACTTCAATAAACCTAATCACATTAATGTCTCTTTCTAGCCACCCCTCTCCCTATCTATCTCCTGTTCCTCAGGGAGCTCCTAGTCCCCCAAGGAGCCCAGTTCCTGATCTTAGTTCTTCCAGGATAGATAATAACAATTTCTAAAACCCTTGAGTAACTGCTATGAATGAACCCTGGGAAATATTCTCATAGCTAGTGCTGCAATTTTACTTTTCATAGGATCCCAGTAAGACATGCATTCTGAATCCCACTGTTAAAAGAAGAACAGTGGGGCTGGGGATTTAGCTCAGCGGCAAAGGCACTTGCCTGGCAAGCGCAAGGTCGTGAGTTCGGTTCCTGGTACCGGAGAAAAACCAAAACCAAAAAAGAAGAACAGTGATGCTCCAAGTGAATGACTAATAGAGGCAGGCTTCGGCTCCATCCCTTGTACTATTAGGAAATAGGAGGTATTTAAAGTCATCTGAGTCAGTTCCTCACTCTGCAAAGATCCCTGACAGATACCCAGCTAATTTCTTCTTGAATGGGAATGAGGACAACAGTAGTTACCACTTACTGGTCCCATTTTCTGGTCCATGAATTTGCTTAGGACTCCACACACATTTCATTAAGTCTCCCAGTGACCAGTGAGACCCAGAATTACCTTCAGAAAACTGCAATTCGGACAATTTACGTCACTTGCCCAAAGTTGTCTAACTAGTAGGGGCAGAGCCTACGCCTAGTGCACAGGCATGCCTGACTCCAGAGCCTATGTCTGGAACTTCATAATCTGCCTGAGTTTTATCAGTGGAAATTCTCAGTATGGCCTCAGAGGTAAGACCACAGGATAGCTATGGTGTTCCTTAGCTCTTTCAGGCAAAAATAAATTGCTTACTCATGCTCAATAAATATGAAATATCAAGTATCTGAGCTGTCAACCAAAATATCAACTTTCCCTCCAACTGAAAGAATAGATAATCATTAACTTCCAAGGTTCTTATACAACAGTCAGAGTCTACAGGTAGAAAATTTTTGGAACCACAGATTAAGAATGAAGTATATGGAAGTTTCCTGGATCAGAATAAGCAACCTAAAGTGTTCAACCTAAAGCTTTCCTCTTTAGCTAAATGAGAGGTAAGGATTAACTTGACAATTTGTGTCCCCAAAAAGAAACTGGCCTTTTACAAAACTACCAGAAGCCACAGCCACAATCAGTAGGAGGTTTGGACTCAGGTCATTTAATCATTCTGTGCCTCCAACCATAAATGTCACCATCACAAACTACCCCAAGCTGTTCACATCACATACTTAAAGTTTCAAGGTTTGAGGCTGGCCCTGATTTGCCAGGGACAGGACTAATGATGTCTCCTCTCCTACTTTGAACTGCAGAGGTTGCAGATGCACTGGAGCCCTGGATCATACTGCTGTGCATTATTTATACTTAAATATAGCTGGACCCAAGTGATACATAACAGAAACGGAGTCAGCATTCTACAGAAAGGGAGGAAATTGTGTACAAGTAACCCTAGGACCTGCATATTGGCAAGACAGATCAAGGGATTTTAGTACCAAACTCATTTAGGAAAATGGAGAATTGAAAAAATTGCCTGATTTGAAGGAAGGCTTCAAGAGGGCAGATCAGGGGAACTTTCTCCACCATGTTCACATGATGGATCCCAGCCTCTTCTAAGAGAGGACTCAGTAAAAGGAACACTCACACTCACACTCACACTCGAAATACCTGTAGACCCTGTACTGTCCCGGCCCAGTAGGTCAGGGTGCAGTCCACTTGCCCCTCATTGGCTGGTTGCTCCTCCCTTCAGACTTGGCTTCCAGATTCTGCCCCTCCTCCAGCTTGTTCCGCTCCTCTTCCTCCTCTTCCTCTTTCTGCTCCTTCTCCTCCTCCTCCTTTTCTAGCCTTTGCTTTCCCTCACATTAAGAGGGAACTCACTCCTTGGGAAGGAAGCCCTTGGGCTCTGGCTTCCCAGAGAGAATAAGAACACCTCGGATCCCTAACAGAACACGGAGGACAAAGATCTGAGGCTGGGAGCTGACTATGTCCACGTCACTGAGAGGAGCTCGAGTGAAACCAGACTTGAGCTGAGAGCACCTGGGGACCCACCCCGTGAATAAGCCCAGGTCCCTCCTCCCTGGGAAAGGGCCTGATTGCCCAAGTCTCCAAGAGTGCCTTCCTCATCTCCAGCCCTCAGTAAGCCCTTCCAACATAGTGATCTCTGTAGGATCAGGAAGCTGTGTCCCTGTCATTTGGGAACTTCCAGTCCATGGAGGCAGAACTGCTCTAGGAATCTGAATGCTGAGGTTTGAGGTCACGCGTCAATTATTCTCCATCTAAGGGGGTCCACAGGGGAAGGATGGAGGGACAGATATAGAAAACTATGTTCCCAGGGATATCTCATAGTGTGTCATCACTAAACCTTCTGACCCTGCAGCCACCATGACTATCCATTGTCCTTTCCCAGCTTAACATCAAACTGTTCTGTGAAACAAAGCAATGACCTCTGCTTCCTCAGCCACTCCTGACTGCAGCCTCTGTCTTTAGCTCTGGCCTCTGAGATTCCTTGTAACTTCATTGCAGAGCTTTATTCAGAAAACTTTCTTATACTACTCTGTTGAAGGTACCTGAACTGCAGCTCCTGGAAGTGGGAATGGTCAAACCAGAGGTCTGCTGTCACTCTGTTAAGTTGAGCAGGGCTTTGAGTAACAAATGTTCTACACGCAGATCAGCCAGGCTGCATTTCAGGGCCAGAAGCTGGGAAGATCTGTCTCAGAACCCGGAGTGTCACATGCCTATGGCCTTGGAAGGAGACAGGTATAGTGAGCACCACCATCCATAGAGTGGGGCATGCTGGATAAGGGTCTTGAGGAGAGACGTTAAAAGGGAATCAAAAGTTGTTATTGGTAACAATGACAGACACCAATTTAGGCATGTCTTCAACCTGGTAATATCCTCATGTATGAAAACGTTAAGAATGCATGTTTTACCACCAAGATTAGTAGTTAAACCCTTAAAATAAACATGGTTAGTGAACTTATGTTTGGAGAAAATTAAAGAGAACTGAGGTGACTGTCTCACTCAGAGGTTCAAGCTTGGAAAAGAAGAAAGTGAAGGGAAAAAGGGAATGGTAGTGGCTCAAAAAGGGAAAGAAAAATAGATACAACCTTATGGTTTCTGATGACAGATTAAAGGACACATAGGATTCACTTGTGAAAAATCTGAGGCGAGGCTGCCTCCAGCCCAGATGAAATTTTGTGAGAACTACAGATGTTCCTTCCACAGATAAAAATCATAGTAAACTTTGTATAAATTATCTAGTTCAGATTATTACACATGAATGAGCACTTTTAGTTTTAATACAATAAATTTTTGAATTTTTAATGCAATACTGTAATTAAAAATTCAAAACGAATAAGATTAAACACTGTTAATTAGCTGCATTGCTTTCAGAAGAGAGATTCTCTGCTTAGAAAAGGAAGCTGCATACAGTGACAGGGACTCCACAAGGGCCATGACAAGGGTATAAGGGAGGAGCTGGGGATTTAGCTCAGCGGTAAAAGCGCCTGCCTGGCAAGCGCAAGGTCGTGAGTTCAGTTCCTGGTACCGGAGAAAAACCAAAAAAACCAAAACAAAACAAGGGTATAAGGGAGATCTCTGGGGGCCAAAATGTTCCAGGCCAGCAGTTGGCAAGGATGTAGGACCTCAGTCACACAGCCTAGAGGAAATGAATGCTGCCAAAGCACTGAGCTTGGGAGCAGCTTATTCCCTGGCCGAGCCCCGTCAACCTGGACTGCAGCCCTGTGAGGACCCTGGCAGAAGACAAACATGAGCAGCCTCAGGCTTCTGGCCCAGGGACAATATAAAAGTTGTTTTAAGCATTAAATTTCTGGTAAGTTGATATGAAATAATAGAAAGTAGATATAGTATCTAAGATAATCATTTCATCTCCTGGCCATAGAGAAGCACGTTAGGTACTTAGAATAAAATCTCCCCACTCATTTCCCTGATAACCCTGCCAAGGAAAAAGAACAACTAGCTTTTTAAACAATTCTACACCTTCACTAGAATCAGAAGACCAAAATCCAGTTTTAGCTAGACAGGATGAATTAGTCCAAGATAGAACCTGACAACTATTGTTAGTACTAATATATTGTACCCTTGAAAATTGCTGAGAGCAGACCTTAATTAAATATTCTCACTACTAAAAATAAGAATATGAGGTGATAGATGTGTTAATTAAGTTGGTATACCATTTCAAAATGTATGCATGTATCAGCACATCATGTTTTATATGATAAATTTATACTATTTTTATTTGGGAAAAAGATTTATAAATCCACTGTAAATCATATAATCCAAGCTTCTAATTACATGAAAGTAAGCTGGGGGACGGGACAGAGCTAACAGTAAAAATTCATCCTGGAAGCCACAGTAAAGCCTGGTGAGTGGCCAGTGTCGTGGAGAATCTTGGGGTGGGCAAAGTGACTATGAGTAGCAGAACCTGGAAACAGCAGTAAAGCATGGTGCCACCCAGAGTAGGTACCACTGTAGACAGGTCTGCAAATGAACAGGACAGGACACAGGGGCTGGTGGGGCTGTCAGGAACGTACTGGGGCATGCCAGAAAGCAAGAGCAGTATCACAGTGCATTCAGTGAACAGGCCGGTGAGGGGCAGCAGCAGCAGAAGCCCATAAACTGGAACAGAAGAGTTACTCACTGTCTCACATCCCAACCATGACTGTCACCAGGTACTCCTGTAGCAACCAGGCCAGAAAAACCCAACCACTAAAATCTAAATGATACAAACGTAAAAGTGTCACATCTCCGAGGAAGATTACAAGAAATAAATTCTAACAGGAAGTTTTTTCACTATCTAGCTATGAAAGCACATCATGAGCTAAGTGTGGTCGTGCATGCCTGTAATCCCAGCACTCCGAGAGACTGAAACAGAAGGGTTGCAAGTTGAAGCCTAGCCCAGGCAACTTAGTGTCTTAGGGAGACTCTGTCTCAAATTTTTTTTTTTTTTTTTAATGGCTCAGAATGTAGCTCAGTGCAAATGACCTAGGTTAAATGCCCAGGACCACAAAAGAAAGAGCAGGAGGAAGAACAGCAAGAGAAGGAGAAGAGGAGGAGGGAGGTGGGGAAAGGCAGGGGAGAGAGAAGGAGACAAAATAGAAGTAATAGACCTCAAAGCATATTTTATACAGGGAAAGGGTCTGAGAGAGGAGTAGCATAATCACTTCAGAAACAAAGACTGAAATACAAGTGGAACAGAAGCCACCAAAAGCATACATGGTCGGGGGTCTAGAGAAGAGAAATTTTAAAGTCCAAGAAAACTGAAATAGAAAAAAAAAGAGATAAAAAATTACAGCGATAGTGTACATAATACAAGTTTATTTGTTATATCTGAAGTGTACACTTAAAGTAGTTAAGATGATTAATTTTATGTGTAGTTCACTACAATTTCTTCATTGGGGGAAAAAGGATTACAGCAAGAGTCACCCGCCCAGAGGACGAGCAAAGGAGAGCCATCCCACCTATCAAAATAGGAAGCCTGAGCAGTGTAAAAGTGTAAACATTTTAAATGATAATTCAAAAAATCAAATTATGACCTTCCAGTTTTGAAAGATGACACTTTTTACCTCTGGAAATTGATCTAGAATAGTAAAACACTAAGGCGTGTTATGATACTTAAAATACGAAGAAAAAAATCTTTTCATCCAGCCATGAAGAGAGGCCAAAATTCAGGCGCCAGCCTTTGCCAAGTGCCTATTTTATGCATTGTCTCATGGTGAAAAGCAAATGTATAAGAGTGCAAGAGAGAGAGCTCGTTCCTGTGCACCACTTTTTATAATGGCATTAACCTGCTCACGGGGGCAGAGCTCGCATGACCCAGACTCTTTCGTGAGGCCTCACTTCCCAACCACTGAGTAGCAGATTAAGTTTTTTGGTTTTTGTTTTTTTTTTAGTCTTTTTGAGACAGGGTCTCGCTATGCAGTTCAGGCTGGCCTTGAGCTCACTTTGTAGCCCAGGCTGGTCTCAAACTTGCAATGATCCTCCTGCCTCAGCCTACCGAGTGCTAGGATTACAGGCATGCGCCACCATGCCTAGTGCAATTTAAATTTTCAACACATGAATCCTGGAGGACACATTGACACCATAGCGAGACTCAGGAGCAAAAATATTTTCGAGTATCTGTGCCTTCGAAACTACTCTGCACCTTTTATTCTGTAAAGGATAGGCTGACTGTATATAAAAACCCTTGCTCACATTTTTTTCTTGTAATGAGTGTCTTATAGATACTCTTCCAGTGTAAGTATTGGTGTAACTATTGTTCTTGGTAAGTTTCATGCTGATCTGATTTTTCTGTTATAAATGACTTAGCCTTGTTTCAAGGAAGAAAAAACAAAAACAAAACTGGAGAGTCCTTGCCACAGACTTGGAAATCTGGACTGTTCTTGGCTCATGCATCCGATTAAGAGAACCCCAGTTTCTCCTTCCTGTTCACTTGTTGGTCATGTCCTTCAGCAGGGGAAGGGCAGGCTAGGAATGTCTGTCTCCTCTGCAGAAGGATGGAGGTGGACAGAAGCCTAAGGGAATGAATGTGGGCAAGGTTCCTTCCTTAGCCACATCTCACTGGTGACGTAGAAAGAGACACTTGCTCTGTTGCTCTGCCTCTTCAGAAACAGGGAGAATCATTTCCACCCAGATTACACAGGGAGCCTGAGGGAAAATGACTGATAGGGAAGGGAAATTGATATACTGTACTTTGGAAAGCACAAATATATTTTATTTAAAGTTATGAGAACCCCTACATTCATTTCTGATGCTACAAGAGCTATAGAAGTACACCCAAGACAAAATCTAAACAACTAAAAATATTTTCAACCAGATAACATTTTGCTTTATCTGTCCTGCTTTCCTCTTATTCTCCTCTCCTTTTTGTAAACCAAGAGCCAGAGGTGGAGGGAACTCTGGCTTCCAGCGAGTAGGCTGAAGAGCTTTCACACAGAGGGCTGCAGAGCATCAAGACTTGGAGGCCTCGCTCTGCCCAGAGGCTACCAGTGCCTGACCAGGCACAGGCAGGCAGGCCCTGGGCTACTTGTGAGGACACAGACCTGGCCCTGCAGAAGGACACAGTACCTGCCCTCAGGCTGCTCCAGGCGGAGAGGGACATGGGACACTAGAGACTCAGCTCCCATTGCAGACAAGCCCCTAGAACCGGCTCTCAGCCTCAGAGAGGAACGATGAGAGAAAGAGAGTGCAAGTGGAGGGAACCCTGTACAAGAGGACTTCCCAAAGAGGACAGGACAAAACAAACTGCCCAGGCAAGCAGAGACAGGGTCCATTCATTGATTTATTTTTCCATTTCTTCAACAAACATCTAAAGAACCTAGTAAATTCCAGGCACTCCTCATAAACTGAGGACACAGTGACGAATAAAACTTGGCTGCTTCTTAGAGAAACTTGCAATCCAGGAGTTATAACAGACATGTATAAACAATCACAGGCTTTAAATAAGGGAAACATCCAAAGTTGCACAAGTCAATAATGTGTGAGCAGGCGGGGTGGGGTGGGCGCACCATGGCCTGGGTGACGGATGAGGGCCTGGGCTGCCCGGCAGACTGCAGGGGGCGGGACCCCAGGCACACAGGCAGCTACAAATGGAGAGAGAGGTATGACAGGGCCTACTGTGTGTCTTACCTGACCAAGCTGATGGGTGGTCAGGGGACAGGAAGGTGAGGAGAGAGATGACCCAAGGAGGCTTTAAATGCCCAGCTATGGGGATCTGGGGATGGTGATGGTGGAGGATGTGAGCAGGAAAGGACATGATCATCCCAACCTGGAACAAAGTTGGCAGAGGAGGTGGACATAGATGTTTAAGCAAAGTGGGAGGTGAGGACAGAGACCCACTGGGAAGAGCAGCCCCAGAAGGAGGGGAGGCTGCCCTCAGTTTTTGAAGTGAGGCCACGTCTTGATGATGTTGTATAAAGCCTGTCCAGGGGACAGAGTGTTAGCCACGTCCCTATGGCCCAGCAGCAGGTAGTTGGGGGCCAGGTACCCCTTGACCACAGCACACTGGATCAGGTCCTGGGCTGCCTCCAGCGCCGTGGCATTGGGTGGGCTGCCTGCAAAACACAGCCGCCCATTGATCATAGGGTCCCACAGTGCCCAGTCCAGGCAGGACACACTCCCAAGCCCCACCCCACCCAGTACCACCATGCTAGTATATTCCACTGTTGGCAGCTGCACTATGGGAAGACAGAAAACCAGGTCAACTTTAGATGTTTCAGTTCCAAAGATTTTCTGAAATCAAAAGGGCTGAGCCTGGAAAACTAAACTCAATTCTTTTAAGTACATACAAAGCCTTTTTCCACTGCAAATGTTTAACCTAGTAGTTCTCTACTGGGGGTAGTTTAGTATCCCAGAGGACATTAGGCAATGTCTGGAGATATCTGTGGCTGTCAAAGCTGGGAGATGTGAGGATCCCGTCATTATCTAGTTGATGGAAGCCAGGGGTAACACTAAACATCCTACAAAACACAGAGAATTTTTAATCTTATCTGAAATGTCAATAGCCCTGAAGTCAGGAAACCTGATTTTAGTGACAGGCATGCTCCCTGCATCTTCCCATGACCAGTTCCAGTCTCAGCCAGGCACACCACTGTGTCATCCCTGCCTGTGTCCAACAGCCATTCCAGTATCAGTCGGAACCAGCCCCAGTGACAGGAACTCCCTGCCCAGAGATTCAACTAAAAGCCCCTGAGTATAAATAAGTTCTCTGAACCTCAACAATCCACAATGTGTACTCTCAGCGCACAAGCAGGGGTCTCTGTGCTTTGACATGTGGAACATAATAGGCCTACACTGTTGCTATAGTAACCAAGAAATGCACCTGCTAAGGTAATCTGAAAATATTCACAGAGATCTCTGTGAATTCACGTGCTTCTTTGGGAAAAAAAGAGACATACACATCTGGCAGTGTGTCAAGGAGGTACTTTTAAAATGAGCGTTCTGTCTGGGAACCTGTCACATTCAATTACATGTCAAATTGGGTGTTTCAGCACGTGTGGACACGTAAATGATGGTTGAATCTGATGGCTTTGCTGTCCACATCGGACACTCCCCCTCCAAAGACCATAAATGACCCCTTCTACACAACTCATCCAACTCACCTGAGAAGGTGCCCATGAAGACAATACCCAGGGCAATGTCACTGTAGCCAGGGGTGGAGGAGCCTTGGACATTCCAGCCCACCCCTTCATAAACAGCACCATCCTGACCCACGAGGAAGCTGGAAGGCCACGAGGGGAGATGGAGATCAGCCTGAAAGAGGCACTTTGAGATTCTTTTTCACTTTCATTCATTAATTCATTCATGCCTTTACTTATAATCTAGGGTCTATTAAAGTATAAATTAATCTATTACATTATCTATTAGAGTCTAAGTTACAGAGACAAGTAAGACTGAATCTCTAACGTTGATGTGCTAGTAAACCAGCAGGGGAGATGGGCAGGCTGGACGGGCAATGGGAAGTCCTGATTTATAGCATTTGCAGATTTCTGTGGAAGAAAACTTCCACCATGGCTGATTTTATCCTACCGATGATTTAACAACTGACGTGCAAAATTCCTGCATCTCTAACAGACAGTTCTCGTGATCTAGCACGTGTCTGCCTTTGTCCCGTACAGTACATCACTTGCTTCCTGCAAGAAGCTCATTACGAATGAAGAAAGAAGACAGCTTTCAGTGCCTACCTTTCCCAACCTCTCCAGTGAAACGGTTTCTCTCACGCTGGTCCAGGCCTCCTTACTAGTGAGTACAATGCACATGTTTCTGGTCTTTCCTCCCTTAATCTCTCTATACCTTTGACCCTGTAAACTAACTAACATGAGACTCTCTCAGGGAACATATCTTCTCAGTCATTTCCTTAGCAACCTAAGCCTCCTGTTTAGCCCCATGTACCCTTCATTGTGCTGCCTAATGTACCTTATGAGGTCTTGTTTCATTTCTTTATTCCCTCACTAAAGTGAAGTATTAATTCCATGAAAGCAAGAGACGTCTGCGCTCCATCTGATGGCACCCAGGGAGCGCAGCCTAGAGCTAGAATATGTGAGATATGAGCGTAATCCTGACTTTGGCCCCTGTCAGGGTGAGAAAATGACAATCATGAGCTATGCGAGACAGCGGCACAATCAAAGTCGGAAATCGAGGGACCTTAGGAGGAAAAGGAAAAAGACCTCCTCTCAATTTCTATCATTACCCAGTGTAGTGTTCCTAAATTTATAGTCAAATTTCAGATGCTCACTGAGATGAAGAAGAACCAAAACATTTGATAATTCCTGATAGATGATAGGTGTTGGAGAAAAACATTCTCTCATACTAAAAGGTTTGTCACTACCATGACAGAGAGAAAAGATGCAGTCAGCTCAAGAGTGGATACCGAGCAATAGAAAATCCCCCTCCACTGCTCACAGCTCCGCAGGATGCATCATGCAAAAAAGTGCTTGGCTGGGGGGCAACGGGGACTAAAATCCAGCTCCACTGGCTAAATCAGAAGTGCCCTTACGGGGGGGCCACATGTACAAATACACCATATAAGCTAGTGTGGCCCATCCTTAGACTTAAAATTTAGTGTGATAGTGTCTGAGAGTACCCGAGATGGTACTCAGATGTATTTGCAACCTGTGAGAGCATCCTCAAGAAATTTGTACTTGTTTCATGTATCATTTGGGTTTTTTTCTCTGTATGTTACTTCGAAGTTAGTCTGAAGTTTTGTTTGCTTTTGTGGTACAGGGGGCCAAACCTAGGGCCTTTACACTCCCACCCCTTTTTTTATTTTTCATTTTGAGACAGAGTCTCACTAAGTCACTAGGTTGCCCACACTGGTCTTAAACTTACAACACTCCTGCCTCAGCCTTCCAGAGTGTTGGGATTATAACCATGCAACACCATGCCAGCTAAAATTACTAGATTTTTGAATTGTTTGATGGAAATATCTTGACCAAAAATCGTTACAGAAATTTGAAGCCCATTTGGACTACACTCAATGAGGAAAAGAGAAAGAAAATGTTCCCCTTCCATTAGGTCGGTGTGTTATTACAGAATCATAGACCTTACTACTAGAAACATCAACCTGTTCCTCTCCTCCTTTCCTTCAAAAAAACAAGAAATATTCTCCCCCAGGAGGTTTCCAGTCTTTAGATCCACAGGTGCAATAACACAAGAGGGGACAAGTTTCCCTCTGTAGTTGCTTCCTCTAATGTCTTTTTAGCAGTCTTGGCATCCATCATGTGAATAAACCACCTTTCAGGAAGCACATGTTCTGAGACAGAGCCTTAGCTGCCTCCTACTTGAGGCCCACCCAGGGTTAGGTGGAAAAATCAGTGAGGTGGTACGTAAAGGGGCCCGTCAGATGGTATTTGATACATGTTAACTTCCTTTCCCACTCCTTTCAGAGGTTCAGTTTCTACCCCCACCAAGGGAAAAGGAGCTCCCCTGTCCTTGGATTCACTTACTTGTACCCAATGTCACACTTCTTGTGTTTGTCCATGAAGAGGGATTGGAGGTCTCGGACCAGTAGGTGGCACTCCTCAGCCGCACTACAGGTTCTCCCACCCGTGTGAAGGATTATAACATACTTAGCAGGGAGGGTCATCTTGTGGCAGTACGCCACCCTGGCCCTCCAAGCTGACCGTGGGACAATGCTGGGGCAAGCTGTGGTGAGAATAAAACAAGATGTGGAGAGTTAGTTTTGGTTACCCATGTCAGCCACCTAACTACCAAAGGCTACGATTGAGACATCCCTACCCACCATGTCTGCCCTGGGCCCCCCACTCTGACCCTGACTGTGGGACACAGGAGCAGGATGTGTCCCAGCAGCAGGACCTGGATTCTTTATTCTAAAAGAATATCTCTGAGAGTCACTTGGAATCCATAAAACTGCTGGTGTAAAGCAATATTTAATATTGACAGATAGCATCAGTCCAAAGGCAGAGATTAAATTGATTCAATGCCTCAGGATGATAGAAATAATTCCTTCTGAACTTCATTAGGCTTAAGAAAAGGCTGAAAGTGTTTCTTATTCTCCTCCTCTTTCTTCTTCTTCTTCCTCTTTCTTCTTCTTCTTCCTCTTTCTTCTTCTTCTTCCTCTTTCTTCTTCTTCTTCCTCTTTCTTCTTCCTCTCCTTCCCCTCCCTCTCCCTTCTCCTTCTCCTTCTCCTTCTCCTTCTCCTTCTCCTTCTCCTTCTCCTTCTCCTTCCCCTTCCCCTCCTCCTCCTCCTCTTCCTTCTCCTTCTCCTTCTTATTCTTTTTTCTCCTTCTTCTTCCTACTAATAGAGGGGATTGAATTCCCTCTGCACATGTTAGACAAACACTCTACCACTGAGCTACATCTCTAGCCCACTTTACCATTTCTAATGTTCCTAGTTATAAACCAATAGTGTTTACCCAGTTATCTAAACTCTGTTAAACTCTTCCTGTAAAGTCAGTGTAAGCGTTGACTTAAGTTTGCCTCCTCACTTAAGTCTGTTGGTGTTCTAGTTTTTGTACTCAGAAATGTGTGTTTGTGTATAAGCATATATAAATATGTGTGTAAACGTATCATGGCCCTTTCTAAGCCTTTTTCCTTTTCACCATGTAGAATCATTTTACTTGTTCGTGTGATTGTTGCCTTTCTAACAGATCTAACAGGAGCTCAGTGACTGCTTGTGGAGTGATGGAATAAATGGGGACACATGTGGACACTGGGCACAGTGCCATGGCTCCATCTTTCTGGGATCTGAATGGTAAGGAGGTGGCCTGGAGCATCTCTGTCAAAATTTTCTGTCCTCAAAGTTTCAGAGAGCTGGGTGAGAGAGAGAGTTCTTGGTCTACTGGCAAGCATCAAATGAGAACCTGGTGAAGAGGTCACCCTTGCTGGTATCTGAGAGTCAGTGGGATGAACCTGGAGGGAGCCCAGAGAGGTTGGAGGTCTCACCTTTCTTCAGGCTTGCCTTCTGTGGGGGGACCAGGCAGTTTTCGCCTTCCACAAAAAGTGGCTGGATGTACCTGGGTGATAGGTGGCTCTTTAGGATAGCATAGGAGATTAGGCCCTTCATGGCTGACAGGGCTGCAGGGCTGGGACTATGGCCTGGAAGAGAGCAATTTGTGGAAAACATCAGCCTGGCCTGGGTTTTAGGGGAGCTGTATGGAGAAGACAGATGTCTGCCTAGACCCTGCCTAGCTGTTGGAGGAAAAGAAGAGGGACCAGGCTCATCCCCAGGTCAGAGACATGAAAGTCAAGGGTTGTCTAGACAGAGCTCTCAGCGGTTTAGAATGAAGCCCTTTCTTAATAACTTGCCAAGACTTCATTCAGAGGCAGCACCACGCTGGGCTGCACCCACCTGCTCAGGCCAGTGGCGCCTACCCACACATCCCTGCCAGGCACGCACCGGGCTCTTCACCTGCATTTACTCATTTAATCCTCACTACAAATCTGAGGTTGATGTTGCTGTTTATCCCATTAAGACAAATTTGAAGCTCTAAAAAGTGACATGCTCAAAATTGCAAGCCAACAAGTGGTAATGAATAGTTATTTAAAAAAACTGTAAATAAAGAGGCCAAACACAAAGGGTCCTCTGGCATGGAAGATACAGGCACACATTTTAGTTCCTCTCCTCATGGCTGTGTCACTTTGGGCTACCTACTTCTCAGAGACTCAGGCTGTATCCTGTGGCAACAGAAATCGTGAAATCTTCTGAACTATCTTAAAAGATACTGGTGAAGAAAATGATAAAGTAGGTTACATGATTTTTGGAGCACGCACATTTAGGTTGCAGGTGACAGGGGGCTTGGAGCAATAGACTAAGAAAAAGTGGGAGGAAGTCAGAGACTAGAGGCCTCAAGGTATTTTTTTAAAGGTGTGTAGGAAATCTGAAAGTGAGAGATGGACAGAGGAGGTGCCTGGCGGGAAATTGGAAGCAGAGTCTGCAGCTATAGAAACATCGGTGCCAGAGAGGAAGTGTGACAGTCACTGACGCAGAGGGGAGAGCTGCAGAGAGGAGAATGGGCAGAGAAGACTGGGGAGCATCTCTACATATGAACTGGCTACAGGGAAGGGGCAGCTGCATAGATGCAGATGGAAGTCAGAATAGGTGGGGAGAAGACCATAATAACATCATGGAAGCCAAGGGAGAAGAGTATGATAAGAGAGAGTTCTTCAAAGATATATCAAAGGGCAGTGGAGTGCGGAAATGAAACAATAGAGAAGTCTTTGGAGAATGATCAGCTGGGGTGATCATTACCTTCCTTGGTGCCAAAGAAGGCGATGCCCAGGGAGATATTATTGTATCCCTGGGTATGCAGGCCTTCGATATTCCAGCCAACACCTTCATACACTCTGCCATCATCCCCGACCAGGAAGCTGTGCAGCAAGAAAAGGTAGATTTAGCGACTGGCGTGAAAGCATACTCCTGAGAGATGAAACCTTTTACCCAGGCTCCAGAGAGATCCCCAGCTATGTAAAAGAAATCTCTACAGATTTTTCCCAGACAACAGAAAGACCAAGTCATTTATCTGAGTCCTTAACAGTCAAAAAACCTTCTCCCACATTGCATATCTCCCTCCCCTGCTCAGACACAGAGTTATATATGAGTCATCCTGTGTGCTCAGGAGGAGGAGGGGTGCTGGAGCCACACAGTAACTAATGAGGACCCCAGCACACAGTGCTAGAGTCTCTTCCGACTCCTCACATCCTTAACCATGGTTCTCCTCCCCGCTCCGAAGAGCACGCTGCTCATGAGATCCCCACATGATTTGATACCTCCTTGTAGGGTAACTGACTCACAGAGACCTTGAACCCAAGAGAAGGATATAGATGCAAGCAGTGCATTTAGGCAGTGATTCTAGAAGCCAAGGAGAATGAGAGAGGAGAGAGAAACCCAATATAGTGTGATCACATGGTCTGGTTTTCATAGTGGCATCAGGGGCTGCCGCCCACACCCTCCATGTCCTTCTGAGGGGCTACGGGCTGAGGTTACCCATCAAACCCCAACACCTAGGGGCTCATTAACTCCCCTTTCCCATCAACCACTCAGGGGAAGGCCTAAAGTGGGAAATCACGGATGGTGTGGAACTGGAGGAAGGAAGCCATCACCACGTTCAGGAGCTGTCCACAGCTGCCCAAAGTCACACTGGGTTTCCCAGGTGGATCATTACAGGAAGAGTGGAAAGTTTGCTCCACCGAAGAGGAGCCCATGCTTGTGGTAAGGGGGAGCGTACTGTGGTACAGAGTTTAGGCTCCATGAGTCCACAGCTCAATGATCTTCAGGAAATCAAACAATCTCCCCTTCCTTGGGGTGGGGGAAATACTCTTCCTCCCAGACTCAGAGCTGCCGGGAAGCAAAGGTATGCAAATACAAGTAAGTCATCTACAACTTGTGGTGTGCTGGTCAAACCAGGCATAGATGAGCAGAAGGTACAGTTATTACTTGACCTGCTTTACTTTCTTTGGGAGATTGCAGAGGCAGGGACCTCCCAAAAAATCCCAAACAATTTAGGATTTCATGAGTTTTACACATTTTATTCATTATAAAATAAAATGTACATAAACACAACCTAGAAGGTGAGAAAAGTGGATGAGAAGCAAGAGCAGCAGAGCAGCTCTGACCACGTGCCCGGAGGCCCAGGCCCAGCTTCTTACTTGTAGGCCACGTCACACCAGCTGTTGTTGTGGACATGATAGGACTGCAGTTCCCGCAGCCTCTGACTGCAGGCGGTCTGGTCGCGGCACTCCATTCCAAGGACGTGGTGTGTGACAAGGACATCCACTGGTGTGGTCAGCGCAGACCTGCAGCCTACAGCTTCTGCTCCCCACTCCTTGCGAGAGACCATTGTGAAGATATCTGTCGGGGGACCGTGGATGTCACTTGGTGCGTTCTGCCCCAAGGGTCCACATTAGTTCCTGGGTTGCACTTGCCGGTTGGCGCTGCATTGGCCCCGTAGTGGTAAAAGCCCTGGAAGAGGCCCACAGGAGGCAGGTTCACTCTCCCCTGCCCACCCCGCTATCCCTGTCTCACTGCCACATGCCTAAGAGTGCACCAGCCACGGAGCTTACATGGTCCCTGTTCCAAAATGTCCCCACAACAGAGCCCATCTCCCAGCTCCTGCCCTGGGCCACCACAGGCCCTTGATTCAAGGAACATCTCCATCTCATCCCTTCTCCCTGGGGAAAGTTCTCACACCATGTCACATCCACAATTAAGGACTCAGTGTGTGCTCCTTGACTCTGAATGTTCCCTTGGGAATCGTGGGGCTGCATCTCCTCCTTACCCCAGGGCTTAGGCGCTGGTGTGTCTCCCTCTGTCTCTGCACTCCCTGAGGTCAGGGTTTGGTCTCCAACTACTGCGGAGGCTATTTCTTCCCTTCCTGGATTTCATTTCTTCCCGGCCCCACTCCTACACCCCGAGGACCTAGGACCATCCGTGCAAGTGGTTGGCCAGTGCTTTTCTCTACAAGTGAACTCCATTCACCCATTCCAGTCGCATGCGGCTGTGTAGATCTGAGAAACATCTCTGGTCGTAGGCAAAACCCTAGTGGCCCCCAAGCGTCCTCACCGTTATGACCCAGTTTGCCTTTTTTGGTGAACTGGGAGATGTTTTCAAACAGGTTCTGCAGCCTCTTTGACACTTGTTTCACTTGTGTTTTGTCCCATGAGGAAACACCTGCAAAAGAATATTCCATTTGGCATCAGTCTTCAGAAACTTCCAGTACCGGGTATGTCAGAGGCATGGGCTCCAGCCAGAAACAGCTCCCCCGTCTCTACTGTCTGTCGCCCCTCACCATATCCCCAAACCCTCTCTAGGAAACCCTTGTGAATTAACTAGTGGACCCCTTTGAATAACAGCAGTTGGCATGACTTTCGCCAACACCGACTTTTGGCATGGCCCTCTCAGCACCAGATCCTGGTAATCCCCTGAGATGAAAGTTATTACCTATTAGTTGAGCACAGGGAGTTTGTGTGCTAACCTAGTTTTGTGAGAGGCATCTATGTACACAATTAGCAAAAGAACAACTTGGAAATGTATTCAGGTGCCTCAGAGCCACAAAGTCCTCTTTAGTGTGAATTTTACACAGTGGAAGCAATGAGGGAGATTTAGTGGAGAAGCAGGTAGAATTATCTGCACAAATCAGACCAGGCCTTGGTTTTTGGGAGCACCTGCTCAACCCAGGCTCCCATTTAAAGGACCGTGGCTGTGAGCACAGGCATCAGTCAATATCCCTAGCCCCAACAAATGACACTGTCACCCCCAAGAAGTTTTCTCTTGCTGACAAGCATAAACTTATGTCTGGTTGGACTGGCTGACACATTAATGATAATCGTTGTAGCCATTTATTTAGTTTTACTGACCAAGCACTAAGTCCTACATGTACATTATCTTATATAATCCTCCCAATAAGTTTAGGAGGCCTGTTACCATATCTCAGGTAGGAAAATTAAGATTTAATGAGTTGAATTACTTATTCAAAAGCATTATGAGGTGCAGGATAGGGATTTTAGCCCGGGTCTAGAGACTCCAAGATCTATACTCTAAACACAGAGGGAAGGGTAAGCATTTAAACAATTCCTATTATGACAATTTAGGATGACCCTTCTTAATTGGTCTTTAGTCCAGAGAAAGGAAACCTACCCAAGGTTTGGACGCTAAGAGCAGAGAAGACAAGAAGCCAAGGCAGCATCCTCATGTGGTCCTGGGACAGCAAATGGGGAGTGTGGTCAGCAGCCCTGGGAGGACAGTGTGGGAGAGACCCCGACAGTTAGCACGTCCGTGCTCACTCTGCCACCCGAGCACCCCAGACGGCACGGTGCTGCAGTTTTCCTCCTCTACCACACTGCGGGCCTCCTGAAAGCCGGCACCTGCTCAGACTTCTCAGGGTGGTCTGTGTAGCACACGTGCGAAACATCCTGTCCTTGTACCCTGCCAGTTTACTTCCACTGAGTGTCTACTGTGTGCAAGGACTATTCAGACACTGGAACACACGGCCTAATTTAATCTTCCATTGACTCTGTAATGTAGAATTGTTAGCCCCCATTTCTATAAGACACAAGAAATTCAAACTCTGGGATGAGTCTACTGCAGAGAGTTCCCTCCCAGTGGAGGATAGGACCAGGTTGTGGGGGGAGATAGGACAAGGAGAGGGCTCTGAAGAAAAAAATACATTCACATTCTGAAATACCTGTTGGCCCGTGCCGTCCCAGCCCAGGACCTTGAGACAAATGTCTGTCCTAGACAAGGGCCTCGGGAGGGAGGGTGAGTGGTTTGGTTCGTTCCTCTGTTGGGAAGGGAATTCCACTTCAGTGTGACTTTTTCAGAAAGCCTCTGTGACTAGAGGGAACTGGCGGGGTATCAGAGACCCCCTCTTTCCCAGTAGAATTGGGAGGAAAGTGGATCCCACTTCTAGGGCAGAAGAAATCTGATGTTAGCAGTCATCTGGTAGAGTCCAGTCCCTTCTAAGAGAAGGCTCCAAAGAACAAACACTCACACTCAGAAATACCTGAGGACCCTGTGCTGTCCCGGCGCAGTAGGTCAGGGTGCAGTCCACTTGCCCCGCATTGGCTGGTCACTCCTCCCTTCAGAGTTGACTTCCAGGCCCTGCCCCTCCTTCAGCTGTTTCCTCCTCCTTCTCTTTCTCCTCCTCCTCCTCTTCTAGCCTTTGCTTTCCCTCACACTAAGAGGGAACTCGCTCCTTGGGAAGGAAGCCCTTGGGCTCTGGCTTCCCAGAGAGAACACCTTGGATCCCTAACAGATAATGGAGGACAGGGGTCTGAGGCTGGGAGCTGACTATGTCCACATCACTGAGAGGCGCTCGAGTGAAAGCAGACTTGAGCTGAGAGCACCTGAGGACCCGCCCTGTGAATAAGCCCGGGGCCCTCCTCCCTGGGAAAGGACCTGATTGCCCAGTTCTCCAGGAGTGCCTTCCTCATCTCTAGCCTTTAGTAAGCCTGTTGACATGGAGATGTCTGTGGGGTCTGGGGGCTGTGTCCCTGACATCCGGGAACTTCCCATCCATACAGGCAGATCTGCTGCAGGTATCTGAAGGTTGTGGATTTACATCATTCACTAGTTTACACACACACACACACACACACACACACACAGGAGTTCACAGGGGTCCAGAGCAGGAGGGAGGAGGAAAAGACAGAGAGTGCTATGTTCCCAGGAGGCAGCTCCCACTGGTGACCCTGTAGGCAACACATCCATCATCCTGCCTCCTGCCATACCCCATCCTGTCATTAGGGGTGTCACCACAGGAAGTCTCTAGAAACTGAGCACCTCCAGCCCCTCTCCCACTCTTGGCTGGGTGGTATTAGAGCACGCCCTGGCTGGATTTCATGTTCTACAGTTCTTGCCTTGTAGGGTGGTGGATCTCTCAGAGTAAACTCCACATGACACTTTCCAAGAGTGCCTATCTCCCAAGGATCCCTCCGACTTGTCATCTTTCAGAGGGTTGGGCAGCTTCAGAGACTTTGGAAATGTCCCATGTCTGTCCTTGATGAGTCACAGTTTCACTCACAGGCCAGAGATTCCCAGAAAAACTCGCAGAAGGGGCCCTTCAATGAGCGCGGAGCTTACCACTGTTTTCCCCAGCCCTGAGACCAGGCCCAGGCTGGAGCCCTGTGCCAGAGCGGGAACTGTGGGCCTCTGCCCAGTCTAGGATGCAGATGGAGCAGAGCTCAAAACAGAGGTGAAGGAGATGAAGAACTGGAGCCCAGGACCAGTATCTTAAGATTCTGATGCTTCTGATCCTCAGGAACACACCGTTTCTTCATACCTGAGCTGTCTGTACCCTAGGAACCCATAGGAAGCCCTTAAATAACAAGTCTGTTGGGCCTGCATCCAGGGACATCGAGAGAGCTGCAGACACTGTTTCCTTCCACAAGAGGGAGTTGGGGACTGAAGGCCAGAAAAGAGATTGGGAGTGGCCACTACCAGGACCAGCAAACGCTCTGTCCCGTCCAGACGTCAACAAATTCCTGGGGACGTACAGGCCCCCTGAGACAAATGTCTGTCCTACACAAGGGCATCAGGAGAGAGGTAGAGTGGTTTGGTTTGTTCGTCTCTGGGTCCGTGAATTTAGAACTAACGTCCTAAGAGGATCTCCTAAGTCCTGAATGACCTGGCCCTTGTCGCTCACCCCTTTCCCCAGCCCCCTCTCAGTCTTACCGCTCTACCAGAGCGGGCTCCCCCGGCTCTCCACCCTCTCCTGCCACAGCGCAGCTTTCCCGCATGTTCCCATCCCTTCCTCTCCTGGAGCTGAGGGATGGGGCTCTGCTTCAGCCTGACTTTTTCCAAGAAGCCTCTGCAGCGAGTGGGGACCGGTGGGGCATCAGACAGCCCCTCCCTCATAGTACTCATCTTAGACTGTAAATCTCGAGCCTGATTCTCTCAAAGAAGAGCACTTGTGGGGATGGGGATTTAGCTCAGCGGCAAAAGCGCCTGCCTGGCAAGCGCAAGGTCGTGAGTTCGGTCCCCGGTACCGGAGAAAAACAAAAAAAAAAAACAAAAAAAAAAAAGAAGAGCACTTGTGCGATTGATTTGTGTGGTGAACTAAGCCTTTTTCCCATGGACCATTTTTACTTGAAAGAACAGAAAATGGTCAAATTATGGATACTCATATATATGCCAGGCATTTTTTAAAAAATGCACAAAGTAAGCTTTGATTTGAAGGAAAATAACTAATAAAATTAGAGCTTTCAAGCAAAAATTAGAATTGAGAAATTTATATCTGCCACCATGATTTGACAGATTCCAAACACTTAAAGGCTTTACTGATAAGATTGGCGGTGATATTAACAAAGTGACGTACGTATATTTACACACACATACAAGTACACATATGTACTTGTACATACATTGGATAATAACACTGGTCAGCATTTAGAAGATGTTCATGAGTCAGTGAACCAATATTTTCTAAGTGACTAATATATTAAGTCACAAAATCATCCTCAGATATCTGCAGAAACTGTCTATGATACTCAGTAATTTGTTGTTCTTAGCTTTTTCCGGGACCGGGAATCGAACTCACGACCTTAAACTTGCCAGGAAGGCGCTGTGCCGCTGAGCTAAACCCCTAGCGCTCAAACTCAATAATTTTTACAAGAGAAAAAGGATCCCCGGTCAAGGGAATGCCACAGGCTGCCCTGACGCAGGTGTGTCACCAGGGGGCAGCACGCGCTCTTTCTGGTCTCTGCTTTCTCCTGCGTTGTGCGGCGTCTGAATTACAAGACGTAATCTTTGAAGAATAAATTCCATCCAACCGAGGCAGGCATTCTTCTTATTCTGCAGGTGCTCTTCAGATGCCCCGCAGGCAGAGCTTTTCATCCAGGGATGAGAAAGCGGAGGAGGCGGCTCTCCAGGAGACCTGACCTAGCCAGGCAGGCCCGTGGCCGGTGGTTACGGTTCCAGCAGGCGGTGTTCGTTCGTGAAACCCCTCATTTTCTACAAAGGGATGTGGACCTCAAGGGGATTCCTGCGAGGCAGAAGAAGCCAAGGAGAGATAATGAGACAGCCCTCGGGACTTGTGGAGGGATCTGGAACCTCAGTGTGTGCGGGGAGGGCACCAGCCGGGAAACGCGAGAGGAGGAAGGACGGGAGGAAACCGCACCCAGGGGACAGAGAAGGGAACGCCAGCTCTCTCAGTCTGGAATTCCCAGACATTCAGAAGATTCTGAGCGAAGCAGCCGAGGTAGACTCGGGGCTGGTATTCACACGTGGGAAAGCTTCGGGGCCAGGGTCCACGAAGCTCTGTTACTGTGAGCCTCACCGTGGGTGCTGGAGCTGCCCAGTGTGGGGACAGGAGAGGGGCTGCTCCATCAGAGTCCGAGAATGGCCAGAGGTGGAGGCTTAGTGTGGACAGATCCCAAGACGGTGAGACAGCACTCTGAAGCTACCTGCAGACCAGCGCACTGAGCCGTCCTCGAGACCCTAGAGGACCAGGCAAGGGTTGGGGATGGATCAGGAGGTCCAGATCCAGAGAGCTCCTAGCAAGCAGGAGGGGAGGCAGTGGAGCAAGAGGCAGGTTGTGTGTGGCCTGGGAGCACGGAGCCCCAGGCAGCAGCCTTAAGGAGCGGAGCCTGACTTCCCTGCGGGAGAGCAGTGGGGAAGCCATGGGCCACACAGGGCCTGGAGTTCAGCAAGACGCCATTCAAATCTGGAGTCAGTGCTGGGGGTGACTTCAAGGCCAGCTCACCCAACTGTCTCATTTACTGGATGAGAAAAGTAAGGTCTGAACGTGGAAAAGGGTCTAGTGGTCTCCAGAAAGCCTGGCAAAGCCAGAACCAGAGCCTCACTCTCAGGCTCATGCTTTCAACCAAGCCCCCATAGGCCCAAGGACACAGAGCTAGGGAAAGTCCCTGCCATGAGGTACGCAGGACAATACAGAAGACCCTAATGCCCTGGAGGGTCACAGCAGCAGAGCAAAACAAGGGGAAGACACAGATCACTTCTCATCCTGGGCCTAGGGAAAGGGCTGATGATTTGGTGGCAGCTTCAGAATCCTCTATTTACCTTGTTTATTTACACACTTTGAACCCAGATGCATAAACTACAACCTATTCTCCCAATGACCACGACCAGAGTGACTGTGGGATCCAGGCCCACCACGACTTTCTGAGCGAAGGGCCACTGTCAACGTGGGATTCCCCCATGCGAAAAATCTTGCCTGCTTTGAGCCCTGTTGTAGTGGCCGGGCCCGGTCGCAGTGTCTTTAGTGGCCGAACCCTGTTGTAGTGGCCGAGTGAGTGGCTGAGCCTTGTCTCCCTTCTCCCCTTATTTTACCTTCATCTTGAACCAGCACTGTGTGATCCCAGTTGGTGACTGCTGAAAGCCTCTAGGTAAAGGCCAACAGACCGGAGTTCATTTCCCACTCACTGCCTGCCTGCACTTCCTCAGGCAACAGCTGTTAACCTAACATCCACTGAGTCAGGCCTTGGTCAGTTCCAGGACCCAAGAACTGAGGGGGACAGCGACCCTGCCTGGAGGAAACAGAGTCGCAAACTCCATGGCGGAGCAGAAGTCACCCACATTCGCCTGCAGTCTCACTTTGCCACACACCCCACCTCATTGTAAATGCCTTTGCTTTTCTTTAAAATTTGTTGGGAGTTCTGCATAACATCCAGCTTCCCTGGACCTTCAGGAGACCCCACAACCCCTGGTCCACACAGCAATCCTCCCCTGAGGCAGAGTCCTGGCTGTCTCTTTGAGCCTAGATGTTTCCACTCACTAGAGGCTCCATGTCTCCCTAGTCCCCACAACCCAGAGACTCATCATCAGCTGCCAGAGTAGCCCTGTTACCAGACGGGGTCCAAAGAGGTCCCTCACACAGGAAATGAGGGCCTCAACGCACCCCACTCACAGGGTTGTTTGGAGGTTCACTGATGTATAATGAAAGTGTTGTAGAGTAATGCGAGGCATAAATCTATTAGCTAGGAGGAAGTACACTCTCAAAAGGGAGCATGGGTGCTCATAGAGCAAGGCTTATTATGGCATGGGGCTGGGGGGATCTGTATGTTTGAGGGGTGTCCTCAAATAAGTAACCTCAGATGTGTATTCCTGGTGTCTCTCAGGGTCCTCCTTGGTGGGCTAGGTTAAGAAGCAAACTATGTGTGTTTGAAGTTCAGTGCTAGGGGACCCACTTAACAGTGCTGTTGCCTTGGGGATGTGGGTCTGAGTTGCAAGGCGCTGTCCCAATTTGCAAGCTTAGTGCATTTTGAAGACCTTTAAGGGTTTTTTGGAGTGAAGCTCCTGGAAGAGAACAGGGTTTTGCAACCTTGGCTAATTTTGATTCTGTACTGAAGCTGTTTTCCTAAGAGCCCAATTTTAACATTGTGATTTTTCTTTATCTCCTCTGTATGTTTATTTCTTCTGTTTTACTTAGCCTTACTGGTGCTTTTGATATTTTCAGGCTCCGGCAGCTTCACCTTGAGATGCCCCGGGGAAGATCCTCTGTGCGGATGAAAGTTCTTCCGTACCGACAGCAGAGGGCGCTATGGGAGCACACAGGAAAAGTGTCCCGGCGCAACGTGCAATGGCCTAAAAGTCGAGGTTTCTGGCTGGGGTGAGGAAGCACACAGCTTCTGCCCTAGCTGGCCTCTGTGCTTCCTTCTCTGCTAAAACAATTGCCGGGCAGCCTCTATTAGGGAGCGAACCTGAAGCTCTCATTGAAGTATTCGCTGACTGTGTTCACCATGTTCATTCATTCACCTAAGTATGCGCTTAGCAAGCATTTATTAAATACTTGCCCTGTGCTCAGCACTGTACCAGGCCCTGTCCGTAGCTACCAAGAGTTTGAAACATATTTAGCAAGACTGGATGTATAAGACTGCGCATCTCCTGTGTGTTGTGACACACTCACCAAATGTCCCCAGGATCTACCATTGCTGTCTGGTGCACAGTGGCCGCCCAACAAATACTTTTTCAACAAATGCATGACAAGGTAACTAACAATAATGCTTCTTATTCAGGGAGCTCTTCCTAACTTCACAGGTTCTGTCCCAGACCTCATGATCAATCCTGTTATCCTATTTTACTGATAAAGAAAACAAGACAAAGTTAAGTCAATTGGCTAAGGTCAGTGTGAACTCTTAAGCACTCCCATGTGTAGCATCTCAACCCCGCAAGGCCGTGGTCAAGGGTTAACACACATAGCGCTTGCACAGGGCAGGGTGGGAACTGGGCAGTGGGAAAGGCTACATGAAGATTAGGCAAAAGGTTGTGTTGAGGTGAAACAGGAGAAACGTCTTGCCCTATGGAGGGAGAGGGGCTGGAGTCACCAAGAGGACAGGAATATGCCCAAAGCAGGCTCTCCACGCACACTTCCTGGGTCAAGGCAGGGATGCCCATAAGGAAACAAGATGATTCAGCATATGCAATGGTGCCCAGCCCTAGGTATGTGCATAGGAGGAGATGAACATGAATAAAAACCTGTCTTGAGGGATCTACAACCAGTTATTAGTCAGAGGAAATATATGCAAATCACTTTAGTCCGGGAAAGCAAACATTATGAGCCAGAAGTGGGGTGGGGGGAACTGTCCTGGAGGAAGAGATTTTCTCCCAAGGAGAAGAGCGGAGTAGCTTTCCGATGAGGCATCATTTGAGGTGAACCATGAGGGACGGGCAGGATTTTACTCTGTAAAATTGCCCTTATCCAGGAACCAAGAGATCTGAGTCTAGTTCCTGCTGTGTCACCAGCTAGCTCTGTAATCTTGCTCAAGTCCCTCTCTGGGCATCAGACTTTTCATCTATAATGCAAAAATGCAGATCACCTGAGAGTCTTTCTAATCTGACCCCCACCCCAGGAATCTAATAACCCAACCCATGCAACCCCTGGCCCTCCTGAGGGCGCTATCACAGAGCCAGGTACACACAGGGGAAGGAGCAGCCCACCCTTGGATGGCAGAGAGGACAGATTGCCCACGAAGGGGAGGCAGAGTGGGTCCTCAGCCAGCCTCTGGCTCTCACAGGTGGGGACGGGCATGCGAGGGGAGCAGAGGGGCAGCAGGCTTGCTGGCTTGCTCAGGAAGAGCAAGGGGTGGGTTGGAGGGGAAGTGAATCAACCAACCAGCTTCCTCTCAAACCAGCTCAGGCCCAGGCCTGGACGTTTCACAAAACAAGAAAAAAGAGCTATGTTATGTGAACATTTCCCGTCCTGCTCCAGCCCCCTCCCTGGCAGGATTGCCACATGGCTCACCTGTGAGGCAATCTTGCCCAGAGAGAGCCGTGTGTTCCTGCCAAGGGCCGCCTATAAATGCTGGGGCAGCGAGGCGCTGGCGAGTGCACGCGTGTCTCCTGGGCTCTGGTAAGTGAGCTCTCCGCTTTCCCGGCAGGAGCCTGCTGGCCAGGTCTTTCTTTCCTGCTCCCAACTTTCTTCCAAATTCTCCTCCTAGAAGCCCCCCTTGGTTGATCCTGTCCATTTCATAGCTTCCTTCGTGCATTCTTAGAGCTTCCTGCCCTCACATGCTTTGCTTTATTTTAACATTCTCTGTCAAAATTCATCCTCACATGTGTGTGACAAACCTCCTTGATTAACTGGCATCCTAGGCTTCCTATTTAACTTTCTGCATCCCCACCTTTTCCCTCCTGTCTGTGGCCAGAAGACTCGTCAAGGAAGCATGGTGACCTCTTCTTCTAAGCGTCCCTACCCTTGTTTCATTATTCACACAGAGTGCGAGAAGACGACAGCCGAAATGTCACTGCTGGAACGCAGCTTAGAAACCATTATCGATACCTTCCACCAGTACTCTACGAAAGCAGGGCACCCAGACACCTTAAACAAGAGGGAATTCAGAGCTCTGGCGAAGACGGAGTTGCCAAACTTCCTCAAGGTAGGGCTTGACTAAGTGAGATGGGCCGTGGGGTGGTACGCAGCAGACAGAGGGAGAATTCTAGTCCCTTCCGTGCAGAGGCAGCTGGAGCTGTCACTACAGGTGCCCAAAGCTAGATGCACCAACTGAGCTGAGAACTTGTTCAACTGCACACCTGCTGTGTGCAGGACCCTGTTTGGAGCACAGGGAGGTAAGCGTGGACAGGGAACCTACTATCTCGAAGTAGGAGACATACAAGAAAGAACGCGGTTAAATCTAATGCCAGTAAGTGCCCTGGGGGAGAAAGAAGATTCTTGCTCCAGATGGGGCAGAGATGACTCTGTAGGGTGGAAAGGCCTCCTGGAGGAGGTGACATTGGAGCTGAGCCCTGAGGAGGCCCCGTGACAGGAGGCTGAGGGATTCTAAGCCTCAGCAGGAAACATGGGCTTGACCTGGCGGGCTTTTCTCATCCTAAGAGTTTCCAGCAGAAAATAGAGAAATCAAGAACAAGTAGCAAGCATCCAGCACAGCCTGGCCTGCACACAGCCTGGCATGTGCAAAGGATGTAGCAAAACATTAGCATTGTTCCCCAGTCTGAAATGACAAGGCAGTTCTAGGGCAATGGGAGATCCCTCCCCACAGCCTTTTCATTGTTTTTTCAAGTTTGGGGAAACAGAGGCCTAGACTAGGAAGGATGGGGTGCATGGGTCTCAGTGTCAGTTCCATTGCTGGGTCCAGCTGACCTGGGACAGGTCCCAAGCCCTTTCCCTCGCCCTGATAAGATGGAGAACTGTCTTATAGAAGGTGTTAGGGACATTGACAGCTCTCCACGGGGTGGTCACAGGCATGCAGTGTTTCGGGTCAGGACAGACAGAGAAGGTGTGGCCAGGAGGCTATGTGGGCCAGGTTTCCCTCTGTCGAGCCCAGGCGCGCTCCATTCCCTCTCCCTGACATCCCCCGCCAGAGTTGGATGGGCCACTTAGGTTCTCGAACGGGTCCTGGCTGAGGTGACCCAGTGGGCAGCAGAGCTGAAGCCACCTGGTGCTTTCTTTGCCCCACCAAAGTCCTCCCCACCCGACATCTCCCCTCAAATACTTTGGGGGCAACAAGCACCTCTTTGCTCTCTACCCTCACCAAGACCCCACACTGGCTGGTTTCCCTAAGTGCCTCCCTACTGTGTAGGTAAGGATGAACGTTACCACCTGTCCAGGGGAGCGGGTGGCTGAGAAGAGAGCAGGGACGGGGCAGGACGGGGCTGTGGGTCAGATCTGCTTCCTGGCCTCCTCAGGTTGCAAAAGCTATTAACCCTAAGATGTGGTTTCTTCAAGGGAGACACCACTTCTGCTTCTTGAAAGTTATTATGAGGACCAGATACAGAGACATTTTCAGACGTAATAATTGCAGGACCTTCTCTGTAAAACGGAGAGACACACCCTACACAAGTAGTAGGAGCGCCTGGGGAATAAGCTGGCAAGGGAGTAGCACAGGCTTCAGCTCCACCCTGGGTACTCGGGTCATTTTTAATTTTTACATCAAGTCTCGTGGACCGGGTTTCCCTGTGCATTTGCCGTCCGGACACAGACCGTGCCCCCTAGTTCCCAGCTGTGCCCACCCTCAGCCCTAACAGCCGCCTGTTCTCCCCCCGCAGTGTGGAGACATAAATGATATCATGGAGGACCTGGACACAAACCAGGACCAGCAGCTGAGCTTCGAGGAGGTCAGCATGCTGTTCGCCAGGCTGACCAATGCCTCCCATGAGAAGATGCACGAGGGCCACCACCGTGGTCATGACCACAGCCATGGGCCAGGTCTCGGAGAGGGAGGCCAAAGCAAAGGTTGCCATTAATCAGGAGGCCAGGCCACCCCGCACCTGCCCAACCAGGTTCACGGGAAATGTGTGCTACATCACCTTGAATGTGGGGTGGGGCTGGGGTAAATAAAGTCTTCGTGTATACCAGTGCTCTGCGTGCTGTGTCTGTCCCCATCCCAGCTGGCCTCCCAGCTCTAGACAGTCCTGCCTTTGTCTGTAGCTCAACCCCTGTACTTGGTCACAGCAAAATGAGACTCAACAACATGTGGGTCTGTTCTGAGCCCCTTGGGCCCACCTCCCTGACCATGTCCTCCTCTCTGACATCAGATCCCACTGTTTGGATGCCAGTCATGCTGTACAGCCTTTCAACATGGCCTTTGACACTGAAGAAAGTAAAGTGGGATATCCATACCCCTCAGCATGCTGGCTGGCCACCTCCCCACCCAGCCCCAGCCCATCTTCACCCATCCCCGACCATAGACTGGTCTCTGTCCCAAGAGAACCCTATTCCTCTGGAGGTTGTCCAGCAATGGACCCAAGGAGTGCCATGTCTGGGGAGGAACTCTGGAGTCAGGCAATGAAAACAAGGGTGAACTGGGTGCAATTACCCACAAACTCATTCCTGCACGCAAGAGAGCAGTTGGGTCTCTTATAATAAACCTAGCATTTTAAATATGGATGCTGGTGGCAAACAGAAGGATGGCAGAGGGAAAAGAGCCCAACAGAACTGAGTTCCAACCCAGCTTCTGCAAAGGGAAGTCTCTGCGAAGAGCATGAGAAGCTTAGACTGTGGGTCCAGAGATTGCTTGGCCTTTGAAGATTCAGCTCAACGGCCAGCTGATCTCCCTGGGATGGAGGACATCCCTCTAGTTTCTGGTCAGTAGCTAGGGGCTCAGGCCTTGGGGGCATTTCCTCCTTTCCACAAAGCCTGTGGCCAGATGGGCCTGCTCCAGCTCCTTTGGAGCTGCTGTCATTGTACCCACATCACACAGCTTTCCTGACCCAGGTGCTCACCTTAGATGCTGCCAAGTGGCTCCTCATTCAGCTCCTTTCCCTCAAGCACAAGTCCCCTGCAGGTGACAATGGTTCCACAGCACACACGTCTCACCCTTTCCACAGAGAAGGCTCACAGAATAGGACTTCAAGGAGTTGAAAAAATACAGTCACCTATTCTATTTTTATAAATGAAGACACACACAGGCACAGAGCAGAGCAGAGACTAGTCCAAGGTCACACAGTGGTCGAGGTGATCCATGTAGAGCAATGAGAAAGGGGGCTTAGATTCCACCTGCTGTATTGCTGGATCCCACAGTTCCTTCCTGGGCACTGAACCTAAAGAAAGCTTCACCGGGGTCAGGTTGCAGCTCCCCCTTGGTCTGGGTCCCACCTTGCCCGTAGCAAGCCCTTGCTCTAGAAAGCCTTAGGGCCCCACTGCAGGTGAGGATGAAAGGGTCCGGGAACTGTTCCAGGCTGTGTGCCAGAGGAAAGGGATTTAGAATCCTTCATCAGCTCTTTAGCGCCTGGTGTGATAGCTGGCCGCCCTCATCTGAAAGTCTGCTCCTGGATATCACATCCTAGAAGGCAGCACCATCCTTACAGCCATGGAATGCAGCTCAGTGCAGGGAAAGAAAAGCAGCTAGGGACCCAGGAGACCTGACTCGTAGCACTGCACCAAGCAGGACTCTGCTGCTTAGGGTACAGCAGGAAAATTCTTCCCCTGGCCCATCTGCTACCACCACCTTTCCACGCATACAACCAGTGTTTGCAACTCTGTTTCCCACATCCCCAGTAGACTGAAAACATGAGGACAAAGATCATGTCTGTCTCATTCTCAGCTTTCTCCCTAGCACTACGGTGGGGCTGGTATATAGTAGGCTCTCAACAAATGCTGACTGCATAAATATTCTAAACTTTCTCTCATGCTCCGTGCCCTCTTCTGAGGCGAAGGTGTGGGGAAAAGAGGGACGAGTAGAGTGGGGTTAAAGCATGCAAATGGGAGACTTCTGGACCATCAAAGAGTTTCTGATGGTAAGACAGAGGGCAGCACTTTTATGGGAATCTGAGGGCCCCTCCCTGCTCTAGATGTAGTAAGACCAGTTCTGCTTTTATGTCGCCTACATTGAAGTTTGGGTTGGAAGAAAGAGATTTGCTGTGAAAGAAAGTTTGAAAATTATTGATGTTAGTCCAGTCTGCCCTACTCCCTGCCGAAGTTGTTAAGTCAACTTACCTGAATTTCACCAGGAAAGGGAGCTTCCTCTCACACTGTTGACGCTCAGGACATCCTTCACTACCCTGACGTCAGTCATTCTCATTGTACCTTCCAAGTGTTAATCCTAGCTTCCCTCCCACCTTCGGGGGCCCAGGATAAATCTAATTCCTTATCATCCTTCCCTCCATCCGTATATCTGCTTTTTCAAAAGCGTCTCCCCAGATTATATACAGGCCTTCTCCAGCTCTTCATTTTTGCACCATGAACGTTCCTCCCCATCTGGCAAGTCCTCTGGGATCCATCAACCTTCAGCCAGAAAACCTGCCCAGGAAGCCTTCCCCACCTGCCCACCTCTCAGAAACACTGGGGACCCCTCCGCTAGGCACAGGGAGCTCTCTGAGACCTCACACAGGATGAGTGCCTGCACGTCTGACTGTGGTTCCTGAAAGATGGGACCACGGCAGACTTGCCCACATCCCTGGGTCCCAGCATAGAGCAAGCTCTCGGCGAATATTACAGAGGAACCAACAAAGACACCAAGGCCTGGAGCCCCATGGAGCTGGAGGCAGAGAGTTAAGAAGTGACTCTTTCACGGGGAGGACAAAAAGTGGAAAGTGAAGGCAGCTTTGAGGGACTGGGGCACCAGCTCTCTGCAGCTGTTGGCAGAAGGCAGACAGGCTGTGCCTTCCAGGTGCCAGCTATGCCTCCTTTTGCCTCCTCTCTGTGCAAACTAAGTGTACATCTGCAAGATTGTTCTAGAATCCAAAGGAAGGTCTAATAACAAGTCATTCTTACAACGCCCCATGGGATTTTCTTTAAACATAGTTCAATAGAGCTGTCAGGTTGACTTGACCTCTTCATTCACCTTAGCCCCTTCAGTTCAAACAAACAAGTAACAACAAAACCTTACTTCTGTTTTTTGTTGAGTAAAGGGGAGATGGCATCTCCCCTTACATAAAGAGCAACAGTGCCAATGTCAAGGTGAAGATTCCCGCTCTACATGGGAACTGCAGGCTACTCCTGTGAGTAACGAGATCTTCTGGGAAGCACAAACTTTAGGGGGTTCCCCACTATCACAGTGACTATAAAAACAGAGACAGCCTGTCTGTCATGAGATGACTGTCCCCCAGTTTTTACAGGGGGGAGTTACTCTCCCTTTGGGAGTCAACCATGGAAGCTGAACTTCCTGGTGTCTTTCCGGGATGGATGAGGAAAGACTAGTAGTTGCCAGAGCTGTAGGACTCTGCCCAAGCATGTAACAGTGCTCTGAATTTGCCTACAGGCCTGAGTACTATGAACTGGCTCTAAACTTTGGGGAGAAACAGAGTTACACATTCATTTCCTTGCCTGCCCATTCATTCATGCAGTGGACATTAACAGGAGGCTTGCTGCATGCAAGGCACTCCATAATGCCGCCCAGGGCTGCCATAATAATCAAGGCTTGATCCTACTCTCAGGAGCTCGCAAGCCTGCGGCAGGGAAGAGCTAGATCCTCAATTTATTCTAAAATAGAAAATGAAAGGCCAGGGAGGTGTGCAGCTAGGTAGGCTTTTGATGTGGGTTGTGAGGCAGGGTAGCATTGAGGCTGGTAACTGCAGACACCCCAGGTAGGTATGAAAGCGATTCAGAGACAGAAGAGCATGTGTGCAAAGGCCAGGGATGGCGGGACTGATACAGGACTGAGAAGGAATGAGGAGACTTAGGGGAGTTAGGGAAAGAGAGGAGAGTTACAGAGCAGAACAGGGCAGATGCTAAAGCAAAGAGCTCACCTTTCATTCAGTGGATGTAAAGGCAAAAGGAGGGGAAGCTTCAGGGAGGAAAATGGTGCAAGGGAATTTCTACTTTATAAAAGTGTCTCTCTGCCCCCGTGTGCTTAAAGCATGGATCTGTGTAAGAGTCAGACCGTAGGCGCACACCCTGTGACAAAGCCGACTTAATAGTCCAGGTGAGAGCTGAGCAGAGCCTGCAGTGGGGTTGCTCATAAAATGCAAATATGGCCTGCATCTCAGACTATCCCAGTATCCTATCTCAATTAAACAAAACACAACCTGGAACTTCCATAAGATGAATAGATACCATAATTTTATGCTTTGCTAAGTCTGCTGGGAAGGAAGGCCTTCGCTTTCACCAGCCCCTTGACGCAACCTTACACAATGCCGAAACAGGCCTTGCTCGGAAGTAAACTTGAGAATCCAACCTCAGACCCCTGACCCCTCCCAGCAGTTGCTTAAACTTTTATAATTTAGAAAGCCCTGTGTCATGAATTTTGACACTTTACCCAGATGCCACTAGGACTGAAACACCTGGTTGCTCAAGTCCTATTGCTTCTTGGGGTTCAGACCTGAACCAGTTTCCCTACTCAAGACAGGGAAGCTCCTGGACAGCCTGGACTCCCACCCTTGTCTCTGAGATCCCCTCCCTGACACAGAGGCAGGGACAGGGAGCTCCAGCAGGGAGCCTCTGAGCTCTCTCAGGTTTTGCTTTTCACTCTAAGATCTCTCATTTTTGACCACATACCCAAAGTTGTCCCATTCAGACTGCAGTGAGGAAAGGGACTGGCACTAAAGCCTGAGGTGAGAGGGAAGAGGAGGATGGCAGCTAGCAGCCTCAGCAGGGACGGGGCAGCCCTACCTTCTAGTGGGTCAGTCCCCATCTCCCTTCTCTCCCCTGCATCTGTTCCTCTTCTCTTCCTGACTTGCCTCTCTTTTCCCTCTGGTTTTCCTACATTCTCTCTAAACCTTTCCTTGCTTTTATCTTTCTGTCCCTCATGCTTAGTGAGGAGACGCAGTCTTGTATCACTGCAGTATTTTCAGGGAGGGAAATATCTTTGGGAAGTAAGTAGGGGTTCTGTCTAACCAGAGACAGCTCCTTAAAAAACCACACAAAGTTCAACTTCTAAGTCTCCTCTGAATAAAGAAATAAGCAAATTGTAAAGAGAAA